GAAGATTCTGCATTGAAATCTATTGAAGTCACTGAAAAGTGATTCACAATTTTTTAAGATTTTTTCATTTTTCTGCTTTTCATTGTTTTACTTGCTTCTCAGTGACTGCAATTCATTACTATTTTTAATTAAAAGTGCCTAAATATCAATAACCGCGCACCGGCGTAAAAAAAGCAAAAATACGTGTCTAATTATTTTTTGCCCTCTACAATATAAACTCGAAAAAAATCGAAAATGATCGTACAAGCAAGGTCACTTCCCTTGTAAGTCTTTTGTTCATTGCTTTTATTAAGTTCTATTAGTTAAACTGGTTGTTGAAGCGACAATACAACTGGTAAATATTTAACGGTCGATGTCAGGCAATGAGGCTTTTTGATACTGTATTTGGGTTAAGCATTTGAATTTTAAGGTTTACTTAACCTTGATTTGTTTAAATTGAAGCTTAATTTCGTTTAATTAATTACATCAACTGCTAGTTGATGATAAATTTGGGTTTAATGTGAAAAATTACCAGATTTTTAATGTAACCTTTACGTTTGGTTGGTGTCTAAACCGTTCCAATGAATGTCTCTAAGTGTGACTTATCTAGTTTGTTTCCTGCGACAATTGTTGTATATTTGTAAATTATTACTCGATTATTAGCTGATCCAGTTAATTTGGGTGACTTGATGCAATTCAAATGCATAAGTATGTAAACAGAGAAAGTGAAATCCTTGACAAAAGCATCAAATCAAATATGTGTCTAGCATTACTAGTTATGATTATTACAAGAGTGCGTCAATGTCAAAGTAATGATAATAATGCATATTTAATCATTTTCCTGTTTCAAATGATTCACTGGAATGAATATGAAACGGCTCTCTGAATAGAGATCAGAATCTGAAAAGGTTTGGAAAAATTGTTATTTGTTTTCCTTTGTTCAACCTGGAATTGTGTTTTCTTATGGCTTTTTGTATTACTTTTAAATAAACTTAAACATGACTGGTTTCAATGGATTGAAACAAACACACAAACCTTCAATTATATTATTAAATCAACAACTGATGATTTATTAATATTCAACTTTTATTCAATCAATTGTTTAACCTACTAAATATAGCTAAAACAAATAATTGTGTAGCTGCTTGTTGTCAATCAAAAAGTTGAATCCAATGAAAAAAAGGAGGAATTCAATTCATTGACATGAATGTCACCAAATACACTCAAACAAATCAATAAATGATTAAGTATGAAAGGCTATCCGAAGATTAATAATAACCTAATCAAAACTTGATCAAATTCAATATGTTTGATAGCCATTAAAGCAATTGTGATGGTCAAAGGGTCTCCATAATTGACAGAGAAGACAGTTGGTCCAGAAATCGTTGAAAGCTGCTGTTTGTTGGTTAACCAATTTGTCGATTGTGATCAGCGTCAAATAATCGTTTATATCCAAATGTTGAACACTGAAAAGGAAACCATAATTACTGTGATTAGGTTGGTTAAACAAGGATTATCATGGTTAGAATATGAATAAACAATTAAGTAAACATGTATACACACCTTAAGCCACTCTATTTTTTTGCTGTTGAATTAAAATTTCAAACTCTTTTTCCTTGTCATTCTCCATTATAATCATCTCCATTATCATCATGTTCATCATCTTTTTCATGCATCCCCTTTCATTTTCAGGTTTAACATTTATAATGGAGAGAATAGAGTAACTTTCTCTAATTGGACTGATTAGGTTCAATTAGAGTTAATTGAAAGTTCATTCTCATTGTGAGGGTTCAATTGATGCTGGTGTTTATTATTATTTTTCATTATAAATATAAACACCATCAGACGAAAGAAGATTGTTACCAAAAACCAAGTTACGATTGTTTGCACAATAAAATACAATTTTTACGATCAATGGACGATGTTGATGATTCCAAGATTGGTTAAACTTTCACACGCAGATAAACCTAATAACACGGATCTGACAAGGAAAAAAATTCAATGATAGTGATGGTTTTTTGTGCATCAAATGAATATAATGATGATGATGTTAAATGGTAAACAATAAAGATTGACTTGAAAATTTTTTCATTTCCCAACTTTCACACTTTCAAGTGGTGACATTTTATAAATAAAAACAGATTGAAACTCTAAATTGTCAAAAAGTGATGATTACCAGGCTGACTTTTTGTTAGGCCTGAAATGGAGATAAAAAATCTGTCATACACTCGCTTGAAATCTATTAAATGATTTTGACCATAATAGATGTGTTTGTAGTTAATTAACATCATTCCAACATTCATTAGATGACACAAAAAACTATGAATGGCTCATGAATAAAGGAATACCAAATAAATGGAAGAAAAAATCTTCAGCTTTAAGATGAACAAAGAGAGAAAAGGAAAAACTGGAAATTGGAAGGAATTTGAAAAACTTAAAGGTGAAAAGATTATCCAGCTTGATTAAAGGTATTATGTTGATGAGTTGATCTGTTGATAGAAAAATAGTGATGATGATTATGACCAGGTAACCGATTTTAAGGTAAGATCAAACTTGATCGAGTCAAAATCAAGTCATACAAGAGTGTGAGTCCGAAAATAAGGGCATAAGAGGAACACACGCGATCAACAAAATCTATTGAAGAGGCAACAGAAAAAGGCGATGATGACGATGATGATGGAGATGAAAATGATGATAATGATGAGAGGAAAGTAGAAAAAATAGACACAAAAAACAGAAAGAAAAAGATGAACCTGAAGAAGAGATTAACTGATTTCTGGTGAAAGAAATGGTTAAGCTTTTTTTCTAAGGTTAATTTTTTCTCCATTAGGTGGCGTTCACTCTTTTTTTATCAACTAATTATCGCAATTAACTAATGAAATAAGGAATGAATAATTAATAATCGGTGTTCATCTTCGGTTTAAAAAGATATAATCAAATGATGATGATAAAAGTTTAACAATTAACCTTTTAAGAAGAGAAAAGAAGAAACATTTTGATAACAATTTTCTTCTTTTAGACATTTCTCTCTTTCTTTTCCTCTTTCTATCTTTTCTTCATTCCATTTACTTGCCAGTCAAGTTTTATTCTCACTCACTCACTCAATCTTCAGTCTTCCTGAATTCAACATTTACTCAACCATTTACAGATTACTGTTAGTTAATCACAATTCAATTTTTAACCAGCAACAAGTTGAGATTCAATTGAAACTCAACTCTTCTTCAACCCAACATTATTCAAGAAACCAACTGTTAAGTGACCTTTCATGTGAATTTTTAACAATTCACTTTCAGTTTTTTTTTCCGCTGGTTAACCAATTGTTCAATTTCACTTCTCAAACCACCGTAATCACCATTAATTCGTGCTATGAAATTCAGTGAAACTTGATTCATCGCATAATAATTTATAAACACTTTGGATTATACCAACAATCAACTGGAAAAGGCAATTCCAGTGTGGTTTGTGTGAATCTCATTATCTGTGTAAAGTAGATACAACAACAGGATAAACTTTTCTCTTCATTTTAATTGTAACTTTACTGTTTAACTGTGCAATTAACTGACCAACTATGGAAGGACCATCAACATCAACTTCTTCTGGAGGGCGATTTTTTTTCGGTGTACTCTTCACAATCTCTGAATTGTTGCTCTTTGGTTCTGTATCATTATTTGTCTATTGGGTTATCTGGCATGATACAGGTTTTGCTTGGAGCAAAAATCGCAATGAACAGTTCAACCTTCATGCCATTCTCATGATAATTGGATTTGTATTTCTCAATGGACAAGGTAACCATTTGATAGATAATTAACAATTAATTTTCAATAACTTATCTACAGTGAATCTAAAAAGATTCAATGACAATGAAGAAGAAGGTGAAAAGAAGAATAAGTTCATGATGAAGATTTGTTATCTCTGTTTTTCCAGTTTAAATTCATTTTTGGAGCCTTTAATCGTATTAACACAATCAATGTTATTAACCATTTAACCAGCAAATGATAACAACAGGCTACTATTCAATGTTCAATCCAATGGGAAGTATAACAATTGAATTAATACAATGATAACGATCTTCCGTGAAATTTACTCTTGCAATTCATTTTATTTTTGGCTGCCGTTAACTCTTCACTTTTTTTCACCATCAATCGTTGCTCCATCAATTATGTAATTGATCAACAAAATTTTCAGTATCAGCTGGCGAGTGCATCATTATCCTTAGCTTTATTTCACAACAACAGTACCATCTAATTGTATCCATTGATTAATCAATTTGAAACAGTTTAAATCAATCTCCTTCTTTTGAACAGCAAGTATCCTGAGTTGTTAACCAATATTCATTTGCTTTCTCATTGTTCCTCAAGTAGTTCAACTATTCCAGGCTTCTTATTTTTTCATGATTGGACTCTAATTAATTGGTCAATTTTGATGTTACTGGATTATCAATTCAATGAATTCCATGAACCAAACGTCAGTTATACGATCAATGTTCGCCTTTTTTAACACTCCAACCAAGTACCAAACTAGCAGGCTGATTTGTTGGTATTAATAGAAACTTTGATTGAAAGTGATTGTTTGATTATCCTTTTTTTTGTCGCCTGGTCTATCCATTTAATTTGATCCAATCAACAATCAATTATTGTAACCAGATGAGACTGTAAAGGGACGAAAAAAAAGGGTTTCATTAGTTTCAAGTCGATATTCAAAGAAAAAACAGTTTCATTATTATGAAGTTAATGGTAATTCAAGATTGAAAACAATCAAGTAAACAATGGATTAATCAAACACAAGCAGAGATACAATTAGTGAAATGAACTAGTAAACATAATACATTGTACATTATACTAATGGCAATGATAAAAGACAATTCATTCAGTAGATGTTCAAGATTTTCATTTACAAAATATTACCTTAAATTAAACACCCTTGACCTTGATATAACAATTATAATGAGAAAGTTTGGAAGAAAAAATTTGTTGGAATAATTTTTCTTTGATTTCATTTTTCCACCTTTTCACCCATTATTATGATTATCATCTTCTATGTAACTAATCCAGAGAGAAGGTAAGAAATACGATGAAAATGCTAAACATGGCGATAATGACGAAAAGATGTTAACCTTGAGGAAATAATTTGTTAGGTAAAAGCTGAAAACGAGAAAACATGAAAAGTTCATAATCATGATAAAGTCTATTGCCTGTTTCACTCAACGCTATTCATTTCACTTGCACTTAAAACTTCACTTTCAATTCAACTTATCATGTGATTCAGTCTCTTGATGCACTTTTGTAATAAACTAGAAGCTGAATATGATTAGGAATTGGCTAAAATTTTTGATCAGATAGTTCAAATGACTTTACAATTATTCAGGTTTTCATAGAAACTTGCAGAAACTTGATTGTTTTGCAAAGCTTAGGGAAACCTTTTCATTTTATTCAATCGGTTTAATCGTCAAATGACAACAGTTTATCGTTAATTGCTGAACCATAAATAAACATGATCAAAAGAATCTTAATGTAAGTTGAAAGGTAGCCAAGGTAAAGGTCATGATTAACAAAAGATACGAGTCAATTGACTCTAATGAGAACAGGAAACTTGATTGTGATCAGTGGTAAACATTTGGATATTTTTGAACATTTGAAATGTTATCAACAATTAAAAAATCTATCAAACCAGAAAACCTTTTCAATTCAACTTTGAGCGATATAATCTTGAACAATCATTTACTAACAGCATTTGATAGCCTTTTATAAACTGTTAACCAGCATTTCAAGTTAATCATTGTCCTTTTATGTATTATCAGTGTTTCAAACCAATCAATTAGAATCAATTAATGAATGCTCATTCCAAGCTTGTTATGAAATTTAATAGATCATGTGTTCCGCGTTAAATAACCTGATTACCTTATTAAATTGGTTGACATTGAATGGTACATTGAAAAAATCATCTTCATCTTTTTTTTCCTTCTTCATCATTTTAACCCTGTTTATCCGGTTCCCTTCAAGACACACTTATTAATTTGCCTTTTTTTAAACAAATTTTCTCCTTATTTATGTTTATATTCACAATTTACACACAAACACACTCAAAAAAAACATACACTTTACCTTGACTTGCATTTGGAATCCGGTTCCTGAATTGTTTAACTACTGTTGGCTGGATAACTGTTGATTCTGACTCTGACACTTGGTATCATTCTCTTGATTACCATTTAATCCTTACTGTACTGGTAATATTGAAACTGTTTAACTGCTGGTTTTGATGGAAAAAATATGTTCACCTTGACAATCCTGGTTCTCATTAAACCCATGATACTTTAGCAATGCTGGTTTACAAATTACTCCACCGATGTCGTAAAATATACGTCAAGATTATCCATTGTATAATATTTGTCTGCTCCATATCAGCCATTACCATTGGTATGGTTGCTGGAATCCAAGCTCAACATAACATGGCTCCAGGCGCTACAATCAGGCACTTTTATTCCCTCCATTCATGGGTTGGTTTAGTCGCTATCGGACTCTTTGCTCTTCAGGTAAAAAAATCTGCAAAAAATAAAAAATAAACTCAATTAACCGTCCAATCAATTGAAATTCAAATCAAGATCAATGTAAAGCCTAACCGGGAAAATTGTTCACAGAAACTGACCTTTCACTGTTGCCATCTTCCGATAAAAGGGGGAAATGATTGTCTTTATTTTTGATAAAAGGCAAAGATGGCGTTGAAAATGACAACACAATTTTTGTCTTTGTTAATGTTTTGTTGATTATAATTTTGATTTAAATGATGAGTTGATAGTTAAATTATCAAATTGTTTATTATGTTAAATAGGGTAAATATCTCCAAATTCAACATCATACTTGTCAAGCTCAGTGAATAATTATCATTCAACGATTTCTCTACAAAGATTATCAACCACAATGGAACATTTGTTTTCTTTTTGTTATACTTTGTTAACTTTAATCATGAGTTTAGTGTTAATTAATGGTGTTTAAGGTTTGAATTGGGTAAGTTAATATTATTAATTTAATGGTGGTAATGATGGTATAATAGTGAGTGATTCACAATGAGAAAAATACATTGACAACAAGCATTGGCTTTTAAGCTTTCCAAGTTAATGTAGCAGACAAGAAGAGAAATTATCTAATCATCACCATCATTAGATCAATTACTTTTAATTATTTACTGTCAACACTCACACTTTTAAGCAGTTAACAGCTAAACTCTTTAACTGCTATTTTAGTCAAAACAGACCATCATTATTCAAATTAACAATCAACTGATAGACTTAACAATAACACATTACAATCTTAAATTTCAACTGCTACAAGCTAACATTACATTGAAAGAGTGTTGGGTAAATTTTTAGGAAATTTGATTTTTTTCAGCTTATTGTTTCTTCCATTCTCATTAGAAACAGTTCATTTGACTTTCAATTGATTGTGATTCTCAGGCTTTTGCAAAAAAAGACGGCCTTTAAAAGTTCATTATCATGTTAACAAGTTCTTACTAATTGTTCCTTTTTTTATTACAGTTTGTTGCTGGTTTTGTTTCATTCTTGATCTTACTCTGCTGTGATAAAGCAACAGCCAATTTCCGAGCTCGACTCTTACCTACTCATGTCACTTTTGGCCTGATCATTTACAGTTTAGCTGTAATTGCATCAATTTCTGGTTTACTTCAAGTTGCGAGATCAAGATTAAGGTAAGTTCATTAAACTGACTCAATTTAAATACACACAAACACACACCAACAATCAGTTTATCGTTTATGAACAATTTACAAGCAACAAATCCTTGGATTGTTAAAAATCGATCAAATCAATTTACCCAGTTAGTTTGCAGGTTTAAATCTTGAACAATCTCCAAATTTATAACCAATCAATGAGCCAGACATTAAACCTATCAATTAGCTAATCAAATAGTAGGTTAACTTGATATATGATTACAATAAACAGCTTGTAATTTGAATCACTTAGTCGCTTGTCCTCTCCAGGCCTGAAATCATTAACCAAACAAAACAAATCATTTTTACAAATTACCAAATTGTAATTAACTGTTAACAAAGTGTATTGCATTGTTAACACCATCGAGATAAACTAAATTTTCATTAACCATTAACTCGTAAGTTGAACCCATTTATCATTAGCTAACTGCTAGGTTTTTAATTACTCTTGATCAAAATCCAACAACACGATTAAACAGATTTGATTAGCTACTTGATATCCAAACCTAGCCTCAATCAACATAACTGAATGGTTATCATTGCTATTATTATGCCATTAAGTACCAAGCCTGAGTTTCACTAATTGTTGGTTAACTTTACTCTGGACTTTTCCTGATTCTCATTGATTTGCAAGTTTATTGCTGCAACAAACTTGAAAAAATTGTATTACATTGGATAGGAAAAGGAGGAAAATTAAAATTTAGGTTGATTTGAATGAGAAACAGTTAAACCAACAATTGTAAACCTTGAAAACGGTTAAATTACAATTTAACAAAATTATAAATATACATTTAAATATATAAATGTTTAATTGTATGAAGGAAAATTTGCTAAATCAAGGTTTCATTTTGATCATTTATTTAGTCAAAAATTAATCTTGTTTTTAGCCTTGCTTTCAAAACCTTTACCCAAACCAGAATTCATTTCAAGATAATTCATAGATAGTTGAGCGTTTCAATGATTGAACAAATTGACAATTTGTCAGTAAATGATAATTCAATTGATGATCAACGTAACGTAACTTTGTAATGGCATTTCATTGTAATCATTTAAAAGTGTTCAAAATGAAGAATTAGCAAATCTATTACAATTTATTTGCCAAAAAAATGGCAACTTTTACAGTTGATTTATAATTTTTGTAGGACAAGAATCAATAAATTGTTATTAGTCTCGACTAATAATGAACTTGGTTAATGTTAACCTTAACATTTGCTCATCCAAAATTAACTTTTGTTTCAACTAATCAAGATCAACAAATTTAAGATTTAAAAATTGATCGAAATTGATGAAATCAACTCTTAAGGTTAACTTGATTAAAGCGGTTGACAAAAAGATTCATTTTTCAATTGAAAGTTGATTTAAGACACTTTCTCATCTAAATAATAAACCCTTTTATTTTCACAATCAACCAAATAATTGTGTATGTGAGAGTGTAAAATATAAATAATCAACTTTAATAAGGTTGAACTGTGTGATTACAAATTCACTCAATTGAACAATTTATCGTTTGAATGCTCTATGAACAAGATGATGATGATGAAAAGAGTTTCTGGATTTTCTCTTTTTTTCATATCTTCTTTTGATGATGAAAATAAGCTGAGTGACCCAAATTTTAAAATGATCAGCAATGTTGATGGTTAATTGTGAAGGAAAGGGAAAAAACGGTGAAGATGATGTTGATATAGTTGGTTGATTGCTGATGGTTACCGGGTATCAACTACAACAATTGATCAACTGTAAGTTTAACTTTTTCATATTAATAAAAGGCAAGAATGAGAAGCGCGGAAAAGTGGCCTTTTTTTATCAACACAAGTGCGTTTATTGAAGCAAAAATAGTCACACAACTTGCATGGACAAGTTGAATAGCTTTTTCATACCTTCAATCAACTGATTTCACCTAAAAGAAGGTTGATTAAATGAAAACAAAGGTAAATTGTTTCTCCTTCATTATTCAAATTCATCTGCATTTGTTCAAGATTTACCTTTTTGCTTCCAACTTGATCAAGTTGAATACAATTTTTGAAGCAACTTTTCATTTTTAAGATTGAAAAATATTCCAATTTAATTGTATTCTGCTTCATTTGTTTATCATGTAATTTATTGCTTCCATGATGACAACAACGCCGAGGACAATTTATTAATAACTTTGATTCCGAAACAAATTTGGATTGTTCATTGTTCATCTCAGACTTTAAAATACAATTTTACTTCATTTTAATTGTTCTAACTCCTTTTTTTTGTGTAAAAAAGGTGTTATTGTTATCATTGATTTTATTGCTATTATTATTGTAATCATTAATTTCCGCCTTCACTTTTACTTGATCCAATTCAGTTTCCGAGTCTAATTGTAATTAAGTTGATTGAGTACTAAATGATCAAATGATCCTTACATCATGAGTAACTTATTGTTTGTCAGTTTTAAATTGTAAACATAATCATGTATTATCATGAAAACTGGTAAAGATGACTGATGTGTAGGTTGCGAGTTTCACCTTTTCAATTGTTTTCACCCTTTTCAAATGATATGTAAAACTGGCGTTTAATATCACTTTACAATTGAAATTATACTAAACAAACTAAATTAACTAATGAAACATTTTAAATGAAGTCAACATTAGGACATTAAACCCAATTTTGATGTTTAAAGCCAATCCATTAAAACCATTTAAAGTCAATCAATGTGAAAATGTCTTTAATTGTTGTCATTAGCAATTGGGTTTACTTTAAGGTGAAACCTTTTGTGACTTTCATTTTCTCAGAGTTTCTTGCCAATTAATTAATCGCAACAATTAGTTGATTAAAACGTTATTTGAACAAATTTCAATGATGAGTTTGCTTCCAAATTGTAATGATTAACCTTCAACATTAACCAGTTATTGTACATAATAATTTTCAATTTTTTCATTCCAACTAAATTAACTTATCACCAACCTTGACTATCAAATCAAATAAAATCCAATTTGCCAACTATCATTAACTCTATCAGCACTTAACTGTCTTTAAATTGTTAACCAACTTTTCCCATCAAACAATTTCAAAAGCTTTCAATTTTCATACTAAATTTATTTTCAATCAATTCTCGATTCTTCGAGTTTTAATGTTAAAGGTTGATTAATTTTCTGACCAATAATGAAATCTATTCACTTAATTATGAGCTCATTTGGTGTGGGTTCATGTCACTCAATGTCAATCAAATGTACATATTCACCTTTGATTGTCGTTCATATTCAAATGGTTAAGCTTGTTGTTTAGACAAAATTGTTGGTCTAAACCTAAAAGTGAATTAATTGTGATTTAATCAGATGATGATGAGCATGAAGCAGATGAACAGATTAAACGGTTCACTCAAGTTAACCAAACAATTGATTAACCAGCAAGTCTAAACCGTTTTTCAATCAACTGTCATTTATGGTTAATCTTGAAAACAAACTGTTGAAATTTGTTGAAAGCTGCTGCCAGTTTTGGGTACTTTTCAATTGAACCCAAAATAACAAGTAAAATATTAATTATTATTTATGCTTTTTTTCAAAATGGGTCAAGATCAAAGAATGATTTGACCACTTTCAATGTACATTTCAATGTTAAGTTGAATATTGTTTCAACCTTTATCTTCAATTTACTTCAACAATATATCATTATTTACCTTTTGTCAATTTTTCAACTTGAATAACATTGTTGAGCAAAAATAATACAAATTGACCCAAAAATGTTATGAAGAGTCTTGAAGACATTTCAACAACTCAATAAAAGGTGATTACACATAATTTAATTTCATCCTTAACCTTTTAAATCCATTAATCCTTCATTTGTCGAAGCCTAAAATTGATTTAATCTTGATAAATACTTTCCATTTGATTCATTATATTCCAGTTTATCAAGCAAAAAAAATGAATTAAACCCAACATCATCTTACTTTGTATTGTAACCAGATTGGTGATTATGATTCTTAATGACTAAAGTTAATTTGATTCATTCCAACCAATGTGAGTTGATCACTTGGTTGACTTGCATTGATCAGGTTTCAAGTAATTGCAATGATTCTTGTGATCATCAAGTCTAAGCTTCTAATCATCAGGATTATTTTACATTATTATCGTGTTAACAAATTGAGTTTTAATCACAATGTTGGTCTTAATAAATATTCAAATTTAAGACGGACATTCATCATTAACCTCAACCTAATAACATGATACATGAACACATTGAATCCTCTCTTGAAGAGTTTCATATTTTTGTTTCTCTCATCCTCTGAAGCTTAATAATCATTATTTGCTGCTCTCCTTTTATTCAATTTTCACTGTATTACATGATTGCTATTATTGATGTTGATACAAATCAAATTGAGTTGCCTAAAGGATTTAATCATCATCATCTCTTGCCTCACTATTAATAATTTTGTTGCCTTTTCAAAGGAGAAGCTAACTGAATTGAAAATGAATAATTTGTTGTAAAGAAGAGATGAGAATGAAAAAGTATCCAAAAACTAGATCAATCAGACCCTCTCTTTAACCCAACGGGATCTTTAACCCTAGTAGGTAAGCGAAGTTGAATATCACTTAAAATCTGGTTTTCATTACTTTTTCACCTTCTTTCAACCCTGTTCATCATTCAAACCAATCATCGTCTTCAACATCCCTTACCTTGTTATATCAATATGATGTTAAAGACAGTCTTACAGATATATACATAAATAATGGGTCATGTAAGGGGCTTAAACTTGTATTTTGTTCATAAATGATTATCATCATGTCCTGATAAACATGGAATTGACTTGAACACTTTAAATGTTCCCAATTTTGTTACCAACTCTTCTTAACCTCTAAAGTTAATTTGATTCTGATGATTTAACATGATTTGTCTTTCTCTCCCTTAACAGTGGTAAAGAAGGTAAACCCAATTATAAGGAGTTTGAAGAGCCAACAATTATTATTAACGCCGTTGGATGTTGTTTGATTGGATTGGCCATTTTACTTCCATATATCATTCGTAATTGTGGACAAAGATCACGGCACAGTCCAAATTTCCATATATCACATTAGTCCTACTTACAAGATGCGTGAACAAAAAACAAATCAACTAAATTAATTACTAAATCAAGTGAAAAGATAAATCATCTCAATCTTTTTTTTATCGCCTCACAAAAAGTAATCATTTTAATAACAATTTTAATTTTCAATTACTAATGTCAACCTTTTTTGTCTCTTTTTTCAGGCCATCATAATCATGATCATCATCTCATTTGACCAGTTCATCAATCACCACAATCATCAACCAATAAATCAACAAGCTCATCATTTTTATAACGCATTTACCTTTCATCATTTTTCACTGGCAAAAATTTCTCAATCGTTCCAGTTTCCAGGGAATCCATATTTTGATGACACAATTTAATTTCTCTCATGTAACTCTTGTAATAATTAACGCTGGATTGAGTCACGTTTCTATTATTGTTAACCACCAATTGATGCGCCGCTGGATTCATTGGATTCATGTTTGACTTTGACTCGACTCTCATCAACAATTGCTTACACTTTTACAAGGCGTTTATAATGAAATCTAATGAGTTACATTTTGTAATCACAATTGAAATTGTTGCTATTAACCTTAAATTATCAAAAATTGATGCTCGAGATTCACTACTATCATAACCCTGGACTCCAACAACTATACTTTTATAATACTTTGATTGTTATTTGTATTAATCTAAACTTGTTTTTGTCTTTTCTATCTGTTTAATTTGTCTGTATAAATATGATTATTACAACAAAACATGTTTCACTTGAAATTTATTTCGCATGCTACTGAGAATTACCTTGAGTTAGGCAAAGGTTTAGGCTTTGGTAGGTTTTTACGTTGTTTTATGTGTTCACTAAATGAGCAGACAAACTTAATTTTAATGGCTTTGATTTACTCGGTTTAATAGCTGATTCCTGTTCAACTGAGAGCAAATTTTGTCATTAAAGTTATTAAAGTTTATATTTAGTATAATCGTAAATCCTTTTCCATTAAATTAAAACCAATAAATTTTATTAGGATGATCGATATGAGCCTTTTGTGAATATAAATGGGAATGATGTTGAATGCAAAATGATTTTTTTCATACAAACATAACATTAATCAAAAAAGTCAACCACTGGACTTGTCGTGCAACTGTTTATTATTCAACATTTAATATGATTCACAACCTTTAGGCTAGTTGCGTGAGTTTTTTGTGCTTAATTAATTGCTTTAAAAAATGAATTTAAAGTTGAATTTAAAGTGGTTAATGTGAATAATAGATGGAAGCACGTCATATAGAAGCTTTATATCGCCATCTATGAATGTGAAAATAAAACATTCAAATCATTTGTATTTTTAATGATAAATTGGTTTCAATTGCTTAACTTTTTAGTCACAAAATTCAACTTTAACTAAATTAAGAAATGGTGTGATCATTGAGTGATAGTAATGATGATTTATAGTTATAAATCATTTAGGTTCATCTATATTATTGTTCTGATAAATGGTTTTCTCGAAGAAACTGGAATAATTACAGAGGATTGGAAATAATTTGATTGTGAAAGGAACAAAACAAAACAATTGACTTTAATGTAAAGTGGAATGATGTACTTTTTGAACACAAATGATCAAGCAACTTAAAGTTAAATAATTGTGATTAAGGTGATTATTAATGAGAAAAGTAGCAATATATTATAATAAAACTTTTACGGATTGAGATTTTCATTTACTCGTACATTCAATGGATTTTGTACGAATGTCAACAATAATGATTTCAATCGTCAATCTTTTACTCTTTCAATCCAGTTCATGGCTTAGCCTTATCTTGATCATAACAGGGTGGATTGAATTCAATCAGCATTTAAACATGTCACATAACAGTTTTTCCATTGGAGTGTTACCAATTGTTCGTTGAAAATAGATGGCACCGATTCTATCAGCCGAAATAAATCGTAATGATACTAATAATAGAAGGAGACGACCAAATCTAGATTGTATAAAAGCAAGTTGAGAATTAGGAAAACTGATTGAAATGTCCATGATTTATCTAACATATAAATCAATTATAATATTTACCGTGTAGGACTAGCTGGATTATGACCCTTTTCATGTTGTAGTAACATTATCTGCGCTTGATCTTGCATATTTTCAATCCTAATCACGTCTTTTAATCCTCGCGCCTCTGCAATATTTATTAGCATTAGTATGGTTATTAAGTGGTAAATAGTGATCTAAATAATTGTTAAAATGTTTTACCTGGTTTAAAAAGAGATAAAGCTTTGAGACAAGCAAATTCACCAGGATCGACCCCAATTGATTTGAACCTATTGAATATATCATTGAGAACTCTGAGATCGGTAGTTCGGTCCCCTGATGATATCAGATGATTAGATTCATTGGGTGAGACAGAGGAAGATGAAGATGATGAAGAAGATACACTGTTAACTGAAAAGAGTTGACAATTTTCCAATGGAAGACACCATTGAATAGCGCATAATAAAAACAATTCAGACCAAGATTCCTCTAGAAGTATCACCTAATAATGAAAAATAACAAATTATAAATATATTGTGGAACAAACAAAATTAGAATTGCTACAAATTGAAAATGATAATTACTTGATCTCTAAAGGTTAAACTTCCAAATGAAGGTAAATTTTTGGCCCATTTCACAGCCATGAAAAGCAAGCGAGCTGACGTTTCATAAATAGATTCTTGATGGCAAGCGATGAGTCCAGGTAAGGTTGAATCAAGTATGGTAGACGGTTGATATACAAATGCCATTGAGTTGTTGTTATTACAATTAGCTAAAGCTGTAGTTGTTGATGATGAGGAAGAAGACGTTTTATATGAAAGGCTGTTAGCATATTCAAAATGAGTTGTTTCATCTAAATCAGTGACTGAAAAATGGATAAAAAATCAAACCAAATGAAAATCACAAATAAAGAGAAAATCAGATTTCAAAATGAATCTAAATGTTTGATAGGAGTGAAGATGAAGGTTATATAGGTTGCAGGGGATGGTTATTGTTATAGAGTTAAGTGACTATCAACTGAACAAGTTCATAAATTTTGTAATTAAACATCTGCTGTTAATGATAAATCATTTGATTTACCTTTGCCATTTTCATCTTTCGGTTCATTTCCGTTTCTCATTCCATCTCGAGATTCGGGGGAAACTTGATATTGATTGGTAATAGGGAACTGAATACCACCATGGTTTTGACTAGAATTCAAACTTCGAATACCTTTTGATAAAAAGAAGGGAAAGAAAAAATAAAATCAATATCAGAATAAAGTAACAAATAAATCAAATCATATAACGTTAGTCTGATGCTTGTTAGTTTCCTTCAGATTTTTCATCTTCAGTAATTCATGGAAGAAGAGGGAATTTCACAGGAAGAAATGAGCAGAATAAAAGAAGAGAAAGAAAATCTTAAACTTTTCAAAGGATTTCAAGATTTGATCCATGATGGAACCAAATAAAGGTAATTTTGATTTGTGTTTCTCCATTTGTACAGAAATCATTTCTTCTACTTTTTATTTTCTGACTTCAAATTCTGTGATCAAAATCATTCCATCAACTTTTCTATTCTTTCTCTTCTTCTTATCTGTTTCTGCATCAGTTCATCCTATAATTCTAACTGTTTCTTCCTCCTCCTTCTCATCCTAATCATACTCGTCATCCTCATTTTATCTTCTTACTACTAGACTAGAGCTTCGCTTGCCTTTTTCTTACATCTTAACATTTATTGTTATCATCTTTCCTTTCAATCTGAATCCTGATGAAATCATTTTTACCATGATTATTTTCAGTTAAAACTATCTTAACCTTTAAGCAAAGGTTTTAATTGAGAAACAAAAATCTATTTACTGAATTAGATATTTGAAAACAACAATCTTTCACAGATCTATAAATTATATCTGGTTGAATCAAGCAAAAGTACGGAAATTTGAAAAAAAATCAACTTCAGGTATAAATTATCACATCTAATCATGAATGCCAACGACAGCAATACTCAGGGCATGTTAGATTTCATTTGAAGATAAATCGAATCGAAAAAATCATTGCTCAAAGTTTCATAGTTTTGCTTGATTCAAGCTAATAAATCAATCGATAAATTAAAATGCGAATAAAAAAGGCTTTTAAAGTCAAATATATTTCTTATATTTACATTTGCTACATAAATGTTGGATGCAAGAAAAAGACTCTTTTCAGATCGTAACATATAATGATGATTGTTGAGAATCAATAGTTGATTATAATATAATTACAAAGAAATAAAGCTTAATTTACTAACCTGAATTAGTTGTAAACAAAGCATTGACTGTAGCAGCCACACCTTCCCTTAAAAGTCGTTCACTTTCACCTTCATTTAATGTTTCTGGTCTGATTGTCGCTGTATTCCTTGGTTGTCTTTCATTTTGAACAGCTAACGCAATAAACAATGAAATATGTAAAATAAATTTACACAATTAAATTTAATAATTGAAACAAAAAACAAAAATCAAATCAAATCTAACTTAAAATCAAAACAATTTCAGCTCAAAAAACTCGGCTTTTGTTTTAACACGATCGCCATCTTACGTCCAAAAAAACATATTAATTTGATATCTCCAAATCCGTTTCATTGAATTTGTAGATCCAAAAAATTGGCATTCAAACTCAAACTCAATTGTTTCCTTTCTTCAACATCTCTAGTGTTCAAATTTAATTTAGACTAATTGTTACAATGTCAATGATAATATAGGAGCTGATTTTTGTCAATGATTATGTTGATAGCAATAAATATTAATGAAAAGGTTCTTACCATATTTATTCATGCCCATAGCGATACACTTTTTTAATCGGCAAGCTTGACATTGATTACGGTGCTGTTTGTCTATAATGCAATTCCCATTTCCAGCTTGACATCTAAATCAAGATATAAACAATCAAAATTATCTTCATCATCATCATATAATTGAAATGCGATTAAGCTGTAATGAAAATAGGCCAAAAAGAGTAAGTGAACAAAAAAAATCCAATGATTTGAAATTTATAAGCCAACATCAAGTTTACTTTGCTAGTAACGCTTGATATTATCAACAGTTAACAAGTCAGATTAAATGAGTTATCTAAATCTCTTTTTTTCGTATAAACTTTTCGATTAATCCGATTAAATGTCATCATGCAACCAAGATTAAGTTAAGATTAGATGTCTTGGTATAAGCAGAATTGATCTACTAACTGAAGGATAATTGCGACTTTCTTATTTTGCCTTCAACTCAACAGCAAAAGACTGGTAACTCTCACTGTTTTAAACACATTGACATTTACATAAAAACATTCACATATCCACTGCCATTAACTTGATTGAAATTAAATTTACAGGGGAAAGCTTAGTTTTAATAACAATCTCATTAAAATTATTGATTGACCCAAGTTTGCGTCTGAATTACGATAATTACTATTTTCTTTGCAATAAGAATGTTGATTTCTTTTTCTTGCTCTTCTTTTCATTTTACTTTAAACCTAATTAAATGCATTGCAATTTGAATAGTCTATTGAATAAGGTTAACAAGAAAACAAAGTTTCAAATCAACTGATAATCACGATCATTTCATTAATTTAAACAAATGAAATCTTTTAGACTTATGTTACACAATCATTTAGTGTGAAATAATGAGCTTTCATTTGAACTCTATTTTTGTTTTCCCTGAAAATTGCAACATCAACACTTCTTAATTCAAATTGAATAATCATGAGTCTAGTATAATTGGTGCTAATTGAACAAACCTGTACATTAAATTTCTTCTCACACTTCGCTTGAAAAATCCGGAACATCCATTGCAGGCAAGGATTCCATAGTGTTTACCACTTGAGGTATCACCACAAACAACGCACATTAAACCAGGCGATGGACGTTTGAGAGATGCTGCAGATGATCCACGAAAATGTTCACCACGATCTGATTGAATGTCATTTGTCTGAAATGGAAAAGATGAATTGTGTTTAATAGCAAAGCCTTGACAATATTGGTGTTTAACTAACATTTTGAGATGATGTTCTTTCATTATCTTGTGAGGTTGGACTTGCACTTGGTGATCGAGCCAGGTTAACAGAGTCAGGATCTGAGCTTGATGATCCTGAGCCATGGTCAGCATTGTCATGAGTTGAATGATTTCTATGATTTCGATCATGGTTGTTACTATTAATACTATTGTTGGCATGATTGCGATGATTGTTATTGTTATAGGGAAGATCGTTCTCATCTGGAGAGGGAATGTTGGAAATGATTCCATTTTTATTGTCTTCGTCGTCTTTTCCATCCCTTGATTCATTACCGTTGCTTCCAGTAATCTTTCCACTAGAGGTTAATGAATTACTCATGGACAGATTAAGGGGACAACTGGAATTATTAGTCTGTAAAGTTGGAGTCAAAATTGGTTTAAATAAATTAGGAGCCATGAAGAGAGGTGGACAGGTAGCATGGAGTGAGGTGAAAAGAGATGCTGCTGCTGAGACTGAGGATGATACTGAAGTTGCTCCAAGTGAAGGCAGTGTTGTTGCCAAAGCGGAAGCTGTTAGAGTATCGGTTAACGTTGAAAGGTCAGCTCGATGATGAGAAGTTGAATAACCTAGAGAATCTCGAATAAGTTCAGATGATAGTTCATCTTTGACGATAATATCATGGTGACGATTATGATTATGATGGTGATGATTGGAATGTTGGGAATGATTGTGATAATTATGAGTGTGGTGAGTGTGACGAGAATCATTTAAAGTTGGTGAAGTGTTTAATTTACATTTACGAGCTACTTTGGATACTTGTTCAATGGGTAAAGGTGAAGTTGAGTTACATCTTGATCCTGATTCACTGACCTCATCTGATCCATCCGATCTTGAACAATCTGATCCATTTTAACAGATAAACAAACAAATACAATAAAATGATTAACCAAATGATTTCTCAAATTGTTTTCACCATTCAACGATATTAACAGTGGTAACAATACTACCAGTGATAACATAATAATACCAATAAAGATGTAATGATTATAATGAGCCGGAAAAAAATAAAAACATGAAATGGCTTAACAATGGTATTGAAAAAAAATAAGAAGAAGCTAACAGAAGCGAAAACAATTTAACAAATTGAGCGGACAATAAAAGCATTATAAAGATCACATAAAAGATGATGGTGAAGATGATGATAAAGATGATAAAGTGAGCCATTAGATTGTATATACATCAGAAATATAATCATCCATAACACATACATAATACACATAAACAAATAGACGGGATAAACAGATAAAAGATTACGATGAAGATGATGATGATGATGCTGATGGAATGAAAAAAAGGATTTTTTTTCTTCTTCTTCTCCTTGTTATTGATATTTTGAAGTTAAGCTCAACACAAATGAAACCCTTAATCCTATGTCCAATCATTTAATAAATACATTATTACCAAAATTATATTTTTGTTTTGTTTGTTACCGATTCAATATTAACATTAACGCGCCTTTTGTCTATCATTTTTAACTTGCATCAAGCTCCATCTTGTCTCGTCCATAAGCAACAAGCAACCCCTCGCTTTTCAAAGCTCATCCACCTTCACTTGACTGCTAATATTTGTACACGTTAATCCGATTAAATCTGGTTACCCTAATCTTCATCATCTTCAACATCAACATCATCATCGACATCATTATAACCATTCAATTCAATTCAATCAAATTCCGATCGTTTGCTCTTTTCTTTCAATGGGTTTTCCTTTGCTCTCTACTTTACCATCACCCTAATTGATTTTACACTTACCATCTTTTGTTGACAAAAAAAGGTAAGCTTTAAAAATTTTCATTTTATCGTAACAATTATTAATTTATCTTCTCAATTTGTTTACAAAATAAGGTAAAGGTGACAATAAACAAATAAGATGACAATTCATTGCTGGTCAAATTGGTAAACACACTTTCTATACTCCATTCAGTAGTAAAAACAAGTTTTACTCTGAAAAAAAACAAGACTCACTCCTTTATTATTATCAAGAGACCATTTGAATCTGTTTTTTTTCTGATATTGTTGGTGGTGATAATGTTCATCTGTAAATAGATTAATGTTTCCTCTCACTGGACTCATCACTGTTAACAATGAGTTTATTAAATTTGCAGTTTAATTCATTCCTCACAAAATTTGCTTTGAATCTTCCTTGCTGGTGTCTCATTCAATTTGCTCAACAAACCATAACCTAACCTTTGTTAACCCTCGGAACCTCAATCCTCTTCGGTTTTACCAATCATCACATCTTCCAACATTATCATCCCTCAAGAGTGTATAGATCGTAGTTCATTTTATCATCTTATAATCTGTATTCTCGGCGGTTCAAAGATAAATAGTGATTTACCAAGTTAAAGATAATCGATTTGAAAATTTTTCAATGATGGAAATCGTTTCTCGCAAAATTGATTGAACAGTCAATCTTGACAAAACAAATGAAAAGATGAATTTTAAAAATGATAATTTACCTGTTTGTTCATCACAATCGCTGATCCGTTTTTTGACCCGATCCATGATTTTTTTGTGTTCCAGTTGAAAACGATTCCTTGAACAATTGAAATCACAAAGTTGATCAATCAAACTTCATGGATGAAAAAATAAACTTCAACAGCAAACAATTTAAACTAGTTGAACACTCAAAGCCAAATCAAGGTGGAAAAACTCAATGAAAAAATGTTACTCGAAATCATGGAAACCACAATTCTGATAAGGACAATGTTAACTGATAAGCTAAGAAGCCAAATGCTGAGCCAGGATTGAAAAGGCAAATGTTAAAGCAAGGATAAAAGTGAAAAGAAGAAAAAGTAAAAATGCTTTTTAATCAACGCAAAAACTAAAGATGAGCGTAAAAGATGATGAGCATGGTGATGCAGCATGCTGGATGATATGGTGAGCCTGTTGATGATAATAATGGATACAAAAGACAGGGAAGATGAAAGCAGAAGATGTTCAAAGAAGAGTCTGATTCTTTTCCCTTTGACTCTCATTGGTTCACCATTACCTTCTTGGAACGCCTTTCACCAAAGTTAACAGTTTGACTGTTATTACGCTTCCTCCTCTTCCTCCTCTTCATCCTCATCTCCAACCAATCAATACAACTCACACACACAATACCATGAAACAACATTCAAATACACACACATATATATATATTATATATGTATTAATAACCTCCTATAAGATGATGATGAAGAGTAAAATGGTGAAGATAATTCACCTTCAAATTCACATCTTTTCCCTTCATCCTTCATCTTTCTTGCATCAATTTTTCATCTCCATCTTGACAAGTTTGTCTTTGACAGTTGCCAATTACATAATTACTTGTATCGTCTATTATATTTATATACATTTCTTGTATAACAATTCAAACAATGAATCAATTAATCGCTTTTTAAACTTCAATTCAATTACAAATCAATGGGAGACTTTCAGTTTCTCACCTGCTAACAATTTCACCCAAACCTCCAAAATTACCTTATCAGTTGGTTTTACATGATTTTCAAAAGTTACACATTTGATTATTATTATTATTATATTGCTATTATTGGAATGATAATAATAACAATCTATTGTACTTTTATCTATCAAAATGATAAAAATATCATTCTCTCGACATAACATTATTGTTCAATGTTTAATGTCATAAACATTTGATAAACATTAAAATATTGAACATTTTGATAAAGATTACAATTTAAAATTGAAACCACTTAAACGTTAACTTACAAGCTTAACTTAATGATGCTCAGGGAATCCATTTTATAACAATTGTAATAAGCTTTTCACATTTTTAAATGACACATTTTGATTCAGTTTCAATTGAAACCTTTTTGTTTTACAATTGATTTTGGTTAATTGGTCAAGACAACCTCATCATTGAAACAATCAATTTCAAGTGAATGTCATTCTGGTTAAAATTGGTTAAGATTTTGCTTTTGTTTTCAATTTAATTCTTGTAAGTGAATGTTAATAATGTTTCATTTAGTTGTAATAAAAGACTATTTAGTTGATTATTACTCTTATTATTAATATGATAAAAGCTTTTAGTCTAATTTAGGTTAAATGAGTTTCTTCTTGTTTCAAATGAAACTATTTGTAACCTGTGCTTGGGTCTTGATGAGGATGATGATCAACTTGGTTATTTGTATTGTTATTGTTGTTGATCATCAACATGATGACTTTTTGAATTGAAATTTATGGTTTTTCAAGCAGAAACAGCTTCGTCTTTACCATTCTCATCATCATCGGGTTAACCATGAATGCAAATTGTCTAATTTACTTATCCTTTGTCACTAAATCAGCTTGCATTTAGTCATTTTATTAGTAAATGATATTGTTATGCCTTTTTATTTGCCAAATGGGTTTACAGTTTGAAGCTTGAACTGCAAAGTTGAACAAAAAAAAGCGACTCTTCTTTATACCCTTTCAACCCTAATCTCACAAAGTATTAGCTAAACTCTGAGAAAGACAAAAACTCAAATTATTTTCAAACCAAATTACCAGCAATCATTTAATACATAGTAACCTTGGTTACTTTTTTATCTTCTTATTATTCTCATCTTTATCCTTTATCATCTTCATCACCTTCTTTGATTGATTCAATATCAAGTTAATTTCCATTCAATTTAATCAAACACTTTTGTTGCTTGTTTCCAGTTTTTTGGTCTTAGCTTTGCTTGACTTTGCCATTCTTATTTACATTTATTTATCCCGCCATTTATATTAAAACAATCTTGCAGCCTCTTGTTAGTTTCATTAACTTGATCAGATTAACCTGCTATTCTTTATGCAATTTGTCACATTAGTTTCATCAATTGTCGATTGTTGAATTAAATTATCTTTGACTTGGTTCTTCTGTTGAGTAAATTGCGTTTCCTCTGTGCCTTTAATAGTTCAGTTCCAACAGCTATAATCATTTTGTAATGAGTGTCATCAATTGCCTTGTTGTGTAAAGAGTCAAGTGCCTTTGTAGGTATAATGTGATAAATAAGATTATTAAATATTCACAAAAGCAATTTCATTCCTCCAAAATCACTCCCAATTGTTTTGCTTTTTCTTGTATTAATCTTTTATCTGTCAAAATAAAGGGAAGAAGAAGAAAAAAAAGAATAAGAATAAGAAGTAGAATAAGAGGAGAAGATTGGAGATGAAGGAAAAGAAGATAGAAGATGAATCTTCTCAGTATAATGTTAACTGTTTCTAGGACTTTTCCTATTGTACTGGTGAAACTGTAACGTAATTAGATAAAAGTGATTTGCTTTTGGTGAATGTTTCTTGTTGATGTTATTATTGTCATTGTTGTTTGTATTACCAACAGTAACAATAAGACTAACACGGAGAAGAATCAAAAAATTGATTGACTTTACTACCAACAATAATAGCAGCAAAAAAGAAGAGGTTTTTGTATGTTGTTTGCTGAAAACAGAGTTAAAGTTGATTTCGTGCTTACAACGCGAAACATTTACAGGGAGGATAAAATGTTGAGGAAATACTGGATGAAAGTAAAGTTGATGTAAAGATGAAGAGATGATAAAATGAAGATGATGGTGATGATAATGATGATTGCGATGATGATGGACAGAAAATTATCACGTTTACTGGTAACCATTTAATAAGGAGACTTGATTTGATAATTGAGATGAAGTGGAACTGGAAATGAATTTAATGATATTATGGATAGACTTCATTCCTCTATTTTGATATCGATAATCAGTTTGATTAAGGTCACGTGACTCCAATCAAAATTGAAATCTTTTATGGTGATTTTACGTTTCTAAATTGTAACAGGTTGATGATTATGGTAGTGATGGCTATGGATGGGACACCAAGATAATCCTGTGATCCAACATGTCTTTCCATTGCTTGATACAGAAGGCTTTCGACTATTCCTTGTTACCTAAGTGTAAATTGTGATAAAAAAATTATTACTATCATCATTATTATCATAAAGATTTAAAATTATTGTATAAAAAAAGAGGGATTAGGTGTAAAGAGAAATATCAAAATTATTTTATGATAGTTTGAGCTCCTGTTGGGTTTATTATACAAAGATGATGTAGAGGTGGAAGGAAGGAAGAGATTGTTGCTTTATATTGTGTTGACAGAATGTCATTTTAAGGTTTGCTGGGTCAACAGGGTGTCCTTTTAACAATTTGTCCTCTCCATTATCATAAAAGTAGAGTTTAATTGAAGACACACACACGCAGCATAATAACAAAAAAAGTAAAATAAACAATCAAACTTGTACAGAAGGTCGACACCGATCGTCAACAATTTAACGTGTGACTGGTGCATGTTTGGGTTTATAGTTGAGCACTGTTCAAGATGATGGTGGATGATGATGTTTCTTAGGTTATCATGATTGTATTGATGGTTTATAATGATAAAGAAAGAGTGTTTCCAGTTTCTTCTTAGGCTCCAACTTGTGTTCACAGTTAAATTGAATGAGGTTGAGATGATGAGGGATAAATTTAGTTAAACTCTTCCGTTACAAGTTGATCAATTAAAGTGTAACAAGGGAGAAACAATTTTGTACACAGTTTAACGTCAAGTGTAAACAGGCGTATGTCAACCTAGTCCTTGTTTCCTTGTTTAAATTTAAATTGGACACGCGGCCAAATAAATAGTTAACACACAAATCAATTTAATAAGCTTCCCATGGATAATAATCATTAGTTGATTTTTATCTTGCCATCAGTGTCCATCAGTGTCACCAGTGGAATCAATTGTCTTTTTGTTAGTCTCTCAATCTGTAGTTGTTTGTGTCACACCAATAGAGTTGAGTGTTGGATTGAAAATTGAGCGTTAAATAATCTTCACTTTCCGTTAAAATTGATTTCTACATCAACTTTAACAATCAAAGTTCACATGACAATAAACACTTAACCACTGTTTAACCCATAATTAATAATTAATTCAATTAAACCAATTTGTTTACTTGTCCATTAACAAATAACAGTGAATAGTTGCAAAATATGTAACTGGAGTCGAGGGAAGGATATTTAATTACGACTTGCTTTGTTACAGAGATTTACCCTTTAGCCTATCGATTTCAGCTGATGTAACATTAATCTGTGAGTTTTTAAATTGTTATTGATATCAATTTACTTGAAATTGATTCCTGATTAAATAATCTTTTTCTGTTTTCGTCAAAAAAAGTATCACTTTTTATATCCTTTCCATCATCTTAGAAATGTGTTACCATCTTTGTTTTCATCTTGTTTTTACTTGAGACACTTTACTGTGTTTTCACCAAAGCTTTGGATTGTGAGAAAAGAATCTCATGAGAATAAATGGTCACCATGGACTTATAGATTTAAACGATAAATGTTCATGATAAATAACAAGGAAAAAGTATAAAACATAAGAAGGTGAAAAAGTAGAGGAAAAATATACCATTCAACCTTTTTGTTTTGCTTTTTCCTGGCCATTTCTAGATCTGGAAACTCATGAAAGGTGAAAATATTGCCCTTGATCCGAGGAAAACTTTTCTTCTTGCTTTTCTTTCCAAATCTATTATATCAAAATATAATATGATTGCCATTGTCTTATCATTTTTCGTTTCTATTTCCAGGATCATCCTTCATCTTTCCAGTCAACTTTGTCCATACTAATCAATCTTACCATCATCAAAAGATGATTTATCTTCATCATCATGTTCCTCTTTTCCATATCAAAATCTCTATGCATCATATTTATCATGGTTTGTAATTTACTCTATTTTTTCTCTATCTTTGTATTCATCTTTGAAACTAACTTTATTCACTTTTCTTCTCTATCTTTTACATAAAGTTCATCATGATCCAAATCATCAACTTCTCATTCCAAACCATGCGTACCAATATAAAGTCGAAATAATTTTCTGGATTTTTATTTTCCACTTTATTCTTCAGTGATCTGTTCGAAGACGAGATTAAATGATTTTGGTAAACACTTTGACTTGTGGATATTGAATTGAACCCAGAATGGAATCGAAAGAAATGCTGATTAAATATTTTTACCAAGCAAAGGCAAAGTTTGATCAAAAAGAGATGATGGCAAGGAAAAAAAGTCAAGATTTACAAAGATGGCGATGGAAAGTACCTCTGAACAGAATTGCCTGAAATGAAGTGTAAGAGAGAAGATGATGAAGATAAAGATTGTTGGTGTGTCAAATGAATGACAGTCATGCTCTATGCTGTTATTTAGCGTAATGTTTTTTTCTTCTCTCAACTAATCTGTTTTATCCTATCTGCTGTGCTTTCGCCATCAGAATCCTATAAAATTATTATTATAATATATATATATACTCAGTACCATGAACATTGAATGAGAGAAGAAAAAGACAAAAAATAAAGAGCATAAACCTTGTATACTTATACTTCATCTTCTTCATTTCTCTCTTTTTTTTTGTAACTCATCCGAAAGCTTTATATCAATTTGCATTACAATAGGATCAACAACAGTTATCATCCTGCATCAAAGTGAAAAAGAAAGCCAGAGACATTTACTCTCTCCAAGGAGAAAGAAGAAAACAGAAGACAAGATACAGAAAAAGGAACAGAACCGAAGGAAAGCATTGGGATGGCTGTGGATCCAGGATCATCCTTAATCCCTCATCTTTTCTAACAACCTTTGAATCAACCTTTTCTCTATCTCTTTCCTTTTGCTTTCTTGCCTCCAACTTTTTAAGCTTTTGGAAGAGAAAGTGATGGAAAAAGAGAGAGGAAAAGAAGAAGAAGAAGATGATAAAACCATTTAAAACCATCATCAATCCCTTCGAATGACAATAACTTGACTGTATCGCTTTTATATCCACACTTTGGTTTGGATGCCTTTTGCCTTGGTTTTAACAAACAATTACCAAAGTCATCCTCATCTTTTAGCTTCCCTTTTCTTCATCAAAATCATCATCATATTTATCTTTTACTTTTTCCTCGCCCCTCTTCATCCAAGTTAATTCCAGATAAAATACAAATAAATAGCAAAAAGATGTATCTTTTTTTTTGTTTGGTAGTCCAATGGCGTTTGTTCAAACCTTCTGGTCATGAAATATTTCTCTTGTTTTTACTCTTATTTTTGCTCCTTTCTCATCTTCTTCGTCACTTTTCCTCCTTCAATTTCATCTGATTGTCTTTTAAACCCAATGTGTAAACAGGGGTGTTATTTGTATCATCATTACTATTGAGTGGCAAAAATACACAATAACATCTAATACTAGACCAAGAATAAAATTAATGATAAACATTTGACCATAAAAGTGTCTCTATCATTCATCTTGACTCCCATTAATGCAACTTAAACTCAAACTCATTCCAAATCTCAATCGGATTAATCGGTTAATCTGTAAATTACATTTGAGACATTTGCTTTTCCCAAAGAATGGATCAAATTTCCAACATTTATTTAAATAACCAATGATCAAAAATATCATCTCAATTACAAAACATGTGCTTAATGATCTTTATTAGCTTAATTATTCTCATTTAAAAGGGCAATTATTTTCTTGTTACACTTGTATTACACTTAAATTTCAAATTTCATTATTAATTTTTCGCTTAATTTAGAAAAACGAATAAAATTTTCTTTTCGACGGTAGATGGCGCATATGGCAGACCATGGGGTTCTAAACATATGGACTATGAGAACATTTTTCAATTTTTTTTGCTTCTTGTAAGACAAAAGTTGAAAATTTAATTGACAATTGATTGGACGATCAAACTTTTCTTATCTTAAGTTTACTAAGACTTGATAACCTTGACCAAACTAACCTAACCTAACCGTAAGTATTTAAAGGGGTGACTGTCTTAAAGATTCTTTAGTCATTCTTTTTTAGCTATTTCTTTACTACTTGCTCCAGTATTTTGTGTTTGTTTATTCAATATGGAAGGCCGTATTCGCGCTCCATTTTGTGAAAATAAAAGGTCTATTGCTAATGCACGTGAACTTTTTTATAAACAGATGCCTAACGTTGGTTTTATGCCCCCCACCTATTCGGATTTGAAGGAAACTTTGAAATCTTTAACTAATAATAAATACGATTTCATGGTTATCAAATTAGTTACTCGACGTTTAAGTAAATTGATACCAGTTTGTGATCTTAATTTACCCAATTCAGGTAAGGTTAAATTTTGATCTTTTCATTAAGGGTAAAAACTAAATATTTTTTTCTTTGCTTTAGACTGGGTAAATCATATTTTTTCATACATCGAAACAAATGAGTGTTACGATAAAGAGAATTTCAGTTTGCCTTATCTTGAAACCTCGCTTACTTATGCCCGCCATTTGTCACTGAGAAACATCATTGTTGAATGTCCGCAAGAGATTGATGCCATCACTCGGTTAGCCAGAGTTTTATCTGGTAAAATTTTTTCGTCTCATTCATATGCCAATGTTCTTATCCACGTACCCCTGCAATTGCAATCCAAAGTGCATCAAGAAGAGGGAACAATCAAGTAAGTAATTCAATTTTTTTTCTAATAATTTGTCTTTATTCTATTTACCAATGAAAATATTTTCTTTCGTATAGTAAAAAATTCCATGAACACGATACTTGGAAATTGTTTAATCATTTACGGTCTCACATTGGATATGATTCAAGACTGGGTCTTTGCTTGGAAGTCGCTGGCGATATTCCTGATAAAAACACTCAAAAAAGATGGCTTGGCGAGCCTATTAAAATGATTTTGATTAATTCGGATTTGTTTGTGCCCGATAAAGACAGTTTTGTGCGAATTCCAGAGCCATGGATGGAATTCATTGTTTCCATTCTTAGAGCCAGCTGTAGGAAAATTGCCATATTAGTTAAAGGCAAAATTCCCGTTTCCTACATGAAAAAAGTTGCGCTTTACTTGAATGAAGTATTCGATACCTATCGATCTAATTCTCTTATCGACCAATTCGCCACTGGCTATGAAGATATATTACAAGTTCCATTGCAGCCCTTACAAGATAATCTGGAGTCGGGAACGTACGAAATATTTGAAAGAGACCCTGTCAAGTATAATAAATACACAGCAGCAATGACTGTTGCTCTTAAACGTTTACCGAAAGAAAAACCTGTAGTGGTTCTATTGGTTGGTGCTGGTAGAGGTCCATTGATTCGGTGTTCTTTGATAGCAGCCGCGGAAACAGGACATGAAGTTCATCTTTATGCCATTGAGAAAAACGAGTGTGCTGCAAATACTCTTGAAAATCAAAATTTAGTTAAAACTACTCTCAATTTAAACCCTAAAAGTTTCGTGAAAATCGTGAATTCGGATATTAGAGAGTGGGACGCTCCCGAGTTAGCTGATATTGTAATTTCTGAATTACTAGGATCCTTTGGAGATAATGAATTGTCTCCTGAATGTTTAGATGGAGTCTGGAAAAGCGTTAAACCAACAGCCATTTCCATTCCAGAATCCTACCGATCCTACATAGGCCCAGCTATGTCTGCTAAACTTTACTCCGACACTTTGGCTTTAAATGAAGGTGATAAACAATCCAAGACTGATTACCATTATGTTTCTCTGATGAAAGGCTTCTACCCAATCGATTCACCAAAAGTTCTTTTCACCTTTGAACACACCGAACTCTCTAAATGTCCCAAGGAACGAGATAATCAACGCTACAAGGTGTTAGAATTCAAAGCTGATATAGACTGTATCCTCCATGGATTTGCGGGTTACTTTGATTGTACACTGATTAAAGGCATAGACCTTTCAATTGCGCCACATAATTTTACGGAGGATTTAATCAGTTGGTTCCCAATGTGGATTCCATTATCAAAACCAGTTGACGTTCCTGCGAATAAGACTATTTCTGTTCACTTTTGGCGAAATGTATCAAAATCTAAAGTTTGGTATGAATGGTGTATCAGTGAACCCGAACCAACTCCCATTCAAAATCCAAGCGGACGATCATATTTTATTGGTCTCGTTTAACAATCATGACTTTTTCTAGTATTAGGAACTGATAATTTTTGGCATATTTTTTCTACACAAGTGCCGTTGAATTAATTTAAAGGTTAATTTATCTAATGTGTAATCAATCTTTATTGTGATTATTGACAAAATGTCAAAAAATTAATACCTGCTTATTTGATTAAAAACTCGCTTTGACTAATTTAAATATTTTGATTCAATAATTCCTGAAAAGATAAATCATTGTTAGCAACTTCTTCCAAGATCGCTTCATCAGTAGTAAAAAGTATTGTCTGTAAAAAATTGGTAATAAATAATTGTCTTAGTTATTCAGCTTATTTTACGATTTGTTGAACAATAAGAACTGAAGATAATTAACTTACATCTCCAAATCGCTCTGGTGGTCCAACCAATTCTCCAATCGCTTTGGCAATTTCACCTTTAAAAATCACCACACCATCTAAATTCATCGTCACATATCGGATTCCTCGATACGAATAGATTCTTGATTTATTGTAATTCCAGAGACGAATTAGGACAATAGAAATTTTCTCCTGAAAGCGAATTACTAATCGAGTAACATTAAAAGGTGAATAATCTGTCATCCAAATGTGACTGTCATCGTGGGTTCTATAAACTCCGTCAATCAATTTTTTGGCATCACTTTTTGAATTAGTTTCACAGGTTATCTGAAAAACAAATAAATCTCTTGATTAAATAAGAAAATTAATTTGAAGAAGAAAAGTTATCGAAAAAATCGCAGGATAAAATCTAGATTAAATCAGTTCCCAACCTTTTCAATTGTCGGATGACTACTAGTTTTAAGATCAAAAATTTCAATGCCATTGAAGCCAACATAGTCTTCATCGCCCCAATTAGATTTAATATCAAGTACCAATTCCCGACCTTCTGGCAATTCAGGAATTATAAAATCAGTTTCCATTTCTGGCTCGTCAAGACTAACTAAATCGATATCGGCGGCAGTATAAGAATCTCTGTGACCTCTGTCTTTCCTCTTGAAAATTGTCGCTTCTTCAAGATCACAGTCTTCATCGCTGGACTGCAAACCATTAAGATCTGTGAGGAGTAAATCACTATTATCGCTACAACCTTTTTTATCAAATTTATCACTATAAAACGCTGGTTTGCTGTGGTCAGTGTTGAAAATGTCGTCTATCTCTTTGGATTCCAACTTGAAATCATTGCAATTAAAAAATTGAGACAAACTTCGAGGTTTACGTGGTTCAATTAATAGTTGAAGAGAGCTTCTTCGTGAAGATGGTGACGATGAGGAAAGTGTTGGTGAAACTTTTAACTCCTTATCTCCTATCTTGGTGTTTGTGGGAATTGGCGACAACTTTTCGTCATTTTCATCATCTAAAATCATGATGATGTCAACATTATCGGATGAGTTTCCTAAATCATGATCCATTTCCATTGAGCTTAAACGATAAGCCATGTCCTCTTCTTCAAAAGATGATGGCAACAAAACTTCAGAATGACGTCGAGCTTGGAGTAACTCTTGAAACCACAACGGTCTTCCGAGGCCAGAATTTTCAGTTAATGGTCGCATTTGGCAAATATTTTTCTGCACCTGTTTACCATCGCTTTGGGCTTCGGTTGAATGATTGGAACGGTATAGTTGATGGTTTTCATTGTTATTTTGATCTGTACCTTGTTGATTGGCATAATCCAGTAACCATCTGAAGATAAACACAAAACATTATAAATAAGGGATCAAAATAAATAAATTTATTTGGTTTTAACAAAAATTAATCAAAAAATATTATAAAATACTTACTCTGGCAGCTTTTTGATTGAGCTAGGAAAGGTTTGCTTAGGTGATCGAGATGATTCACTGGACAATGTTGATTCTAGGGAAGAAGCTCCAAGAGAGTTCAAAGGCTTTAGGACTAGAGATTCACGTTTCTCCATTGTTGGTTAAATAATCGGTCAGTTAATTAAGTTGAACAAATGGTGAGTAGTTAATTGCAAAACAAATAAATATCAATTAACAATTGAGTCAATGTTTCATTTTAAGCTTTTTTAACATTTTGTTTCCTTTGTTTCCATTCAGCCAGGTTACGGTTTTCACTTTGGTTTAAGGTCTATACACAAGTAATGTTATTAAAGCTAGAAGAGATGATTGGTTAAAGCATGTCCATGTTAAAGCTGTTAACAAGTGAAACCACGATGAGGCCAATACACCATCAGCTTGTGATTGCTCGAAGTAAGTACATATCTAATATAATTCCTTTCATCTTCATGCATCGTTGGTATTATTAATAATAATTGCATGATTAATAAAACATCGCAAACCATTTATGTTTTTGTTGTAATACTACCAGGAAGTGTGGGGTTACCTTTACTTTCACCATTCTATTCATATCGTCTTTTTTCCTCCTTTTCTCTTTCTTTTTATGTTTATTTCTCGGTGTGTTTACTATTCACCTGACTACAATGGTTACATGGAGATGATATTTGATGATTTACTTTCTTCAGAGGAGAAAAAGGATCCTGAAGTCAACCAGATCGCGATTCCTACTTGAAGTCAACGACTCACTATGAAGATGATATCGATTGATCTTCCATGTATCTTCCTTGTTTCCATACAACATTGGGCCCAGCAATATATTTCAATTTCAAGGAAAAGGCCACATGAAAAATATATTTCAAGTCGACCTTTCACGATCTTTCTATCTAATTTCCTCGATTATCCTATTGATTTGACCAATTTGTCAAAGTGTTTACAATTTTATCCTTTGTAGTTACATAGACTTGCTTTTGTGAAAATGAAAACTATTCATTTCACAGCTATTTTTAGACAAACATCAAGAATCTATCTGGAAATTTATGTAATAATCAATTTAGGTTTAAAATATTGATCAGTTTTTTTTCAGATTTCAATCTATTCAATGCAATTCAATTTTCCTAACGTGTCTTATTTCTGTGGGAATCATGATCAATGACTTTGTTTGTCGTACATTTCAATTTGACAAAAACAGATTTAGCAATCTTTTGAGTCTGTTTATGAAATAATATCCAATTATACCGATTAATAAATATTAATTTAGTTATTGGCCTTCTGCAATTAAGACTTTTCTTTTGATTATTTCACGAATTTTCAACTTCGGTTATTCAAGTTCATTATCTTTCCTATCAAAGATTGTTGGGTTCATTGAACGCTTTTGGATGCGATCAATATTCATATTTCTTCATTCAATTCAACACATTTTTCACAGGGAAATCGGTTGAATTCAATGTATAATTGAAGTTAAAACTAAACAATTCCAAGTTGTAAATCAAATAAACAAATTGTTATTTAATTATTAATAGAAATGTTTCTCTACTTATTGCAATTCTAACATAATACCGTACAAATGGCATTGTATTAATGGTTTCACCTTGATTATGTCTTACTTCATTGTGTTTTACTTCACTGAAACACTAGACCAGAAAAAAATACTTCATTTCAATCAAATTGCAGTTAATATCAAAAAATACCCATAATATCATCATATATTTCATATTACAAATGCAACTTAAATCGCTAAGTTTTATTCATTTGCATTATTACTTTCCTTTGTACCAACTAAGAATAAGAAAGTTAGTAATGGTTGTTAATAAAAAGACACAATCAACACTATTTTCACATTTATACACAAGTTGAACTAAATACTGAAAAGAGAATGGTCAAAAACGAGTGAAAATGAACTTCTTTCAAATTTAGACTTTGCCAGGCTGTAAGTACATGAAAACTACGGCCATTTATGCGATTCAAAAGTTTCTCTGATCAATAGTTCTCGAGAAAATCGAGTTCGAAATTGAAACTTCGATCGCCTTTTGTACGATAATGGAAGCAGAGCTTTTTATGAAACTCATTTTGCTGAGGTAACTTTTGACAATCAATCAGAAGCTCAACTTAATTTGAGAAAAGTAACTTTTAGTTTCCTTTAAAACAGATAAGTTCGATTTATAGTTAAACCGACTTTATTCTATGACCATAATAGTTAGAGAACTGAAACTTATTACGAGTACATAAAAATTGATTGTGCACATAATGGATGAAATACTTTTTTCGATCTATCAACTGTTCTCTTGATTTTAGCCATTTGACTAAAAACTTTGAACCTAAATATTTCGACAATTGTAGCATTTACAATCATCATTCTTTGACCAATTTAATGCTTTACTAATAAATAACTCAATTCGATTTGAAAACTTTGGATTAGCGCATTTGGGTCATGATTTTCGGGTTTAAAATGTACTTCAAACAACTCTTTTAACAAAACAAATGCATCTAAACCCATTTCTTGGTGAATAAACCAATTTTCTGGTTGCAATGAAAAATGGAATGCAAAGAGTGCTGTAAAACTCTTGAACATTTGATTAAAGAGTTGAAACTTGGTGGGATGTTTAGAGACATAAAAACTGAGTCCATTGGTACTATTGAATAATTCATGCGATGCACTGTTTTCCAGAAAATTGAGATCAAATTTGAACCTTCGATCGACTTTTTTTCAGCTATGGAAGCAGATTTTTTCATGAAACTCATTTTCCAGGGCTAACTTTTGATGGTAAACCAGAAAATGCGCTTATTTTGAGAAATAAAATTTTCTGACTCAAATAAAGCAGATAAGTTCGATTTTTAGATAAACCGATCGATCTCTGTGACTATATCAGTTAGCAAGCTGAAACTTATTATGGGTCCATAAAAATTGTTGGGCTAAATTATGCGATGAATAATTTTTTCAGTTTACCAACTGTTCTTATGATTTTGACCATTTACATGGAAACTTTGGACCTCAATAGTTCGAAAATGGCATAACCTACAATCGTCATTCTTTAATAAATCATTAGTTTTTGTTATAATCTATAACATAATATGACTGAAAACCGAAGAAATGTAAGCTAAATCAATTAATAATGAATATTCTTCTAATACATGATAAGTAAACATTTACCTTTGTTAATCTGGTATCAGATCTGACAACCTAACTAATAATATTTTATAACTTAATTTGTAGTTTCTTGAACTATCTAAAATTTGAATGTTTCATAGCCCATAATGAAACCTATTGTTTGGTCAAAGAATGATGATTGTAGGTGGTATAATTGTCGAAATATTCAGGTTCAAAGTTTTTATTCAAATGGCTAAAATCAAGAGAACAGTTGATAGATCGAAAAAAGTATTTAATTCCTAATGTGTAAAAACAACTTTTATGTAATCTCAAAAAGTTTCAGTTCTCTAATTATCATGATCATTGAATACGGCCAGTTTAACGAAAAGTCGAACTTATCTGTTTTAAAGGAAACGAAAAGTTTTTTGTCTCAAAAAAAGTTGAGCTTCTTGTTGAGCATCAAAAGTTAGCCCTGGAAAATGAGTTTCATGAAAAAATCTGCTTCCATAGCTGAAAAAAAGTCGATCGAAGGTTCAAATTTGATCTCAATTTTCTGGAAAACAGTGCATCGCATGAATTATTCAATAGTACCAATGGACTCAGTTTTTATGTCTCTAAACATCCCACCAAGTTTCAACTCTTTAATCAAATGTTCAAGAGTTTTACAGCACTCTTTGCATTCCATTTTTCATTGCAACCAGAAAATTGGTTTATTCACCAAGAAATGGATTGAGATGCATTGATTTTGTTAAAAGAGTTGTTTGACGTACATTTTAAACCCGAAAATCATGACCCAAATGCGCTAATCCAAAGTTTTCAAATCGAATTGAGTTATTAACTAGTAAAGTATTGAATTGGTCAAAGAATGATGATTGTAGATGCTACAATTGTCCAAATATCGAGGTTCAAAGTTTATAGTCTAATGGCTAAAATCAAGAGAACAGTTGATAGATCGAAAAAAGTATTTGATCTATTATGTGTACAAACAATTTTTGTGTACTCATAATAAGTTTCCGTTCTCTAATTATCATGATCATTGAATAACGGTCAGTTTAACTATAAATCGAACTTATCTGTTTTAAAGGAAACTTAAAGTTTTTTGTCTCAAAATAAGTTGAGCTTCTGATTGATTATCAAAATTTACCTCAGCAAAATGAGTTTCACGAAAAAATCAGCTTCCATTATCGTACAAAAGGCGATCGAAGTTTCGATTTCGAACTTGATTTTCTCGAGAACTATGCATCAGAGAAACTTTTGAATCACCCAAATGGACTCAGTTTTCATGTCCTTACAACCTGGCAAAGTCCAAATTTGAAAAAGTTGATTTTCACTCTTTTTTCCCCATTCTTCTTTCAGAATTTCGTTCAACTTGTGTATAAATGTGAAATAATAGTGTTTTTTGTGTCTTTTTGGTAACAGCCTTAGAAAATGTTGTAAATTATTAATACAGAGCTCAATTCAATTAAGTTAGACCTTATTATCTTCAAGATTCACACCTTAACCAGATTGACAGAGCTGTTGTTTAAATGCGCTAATTGGGATTGTTTTCAATTTTTAATCCATTTGATGAAGCAGTGAAATGAGTATTAGTTAAATCATGTTGATGAATAGGTGAAGTTGAAACGCTTGTAGGGATTGGATGATAATAAAAAGTCTGATCACATTATGTTTGATGTTATTTTTGTCACAGTTAATGTTTTCTCGTTCCTTACTGTTTTCCCTAATTGAATGAAGTCTTTCAATTAGACCCATGAATAAGTAACTTAACCATTAATCAATCTTTTTTGTTTTCCTCTTGATTTGATCAGGTAACCAAAGATGGCTTCTAACAGTTTCTTTGAAACCGATCAAGAATAAAGTTGATGGAAGTAAACAGGAGAAAGAAACAAAAATAACAAGATGTTCATTCATTATCCAGAATACATTAGCAATGGAAAGCAAATGTTCATTTTTTAACCAGCAAAGATCAATTGTATACCTTAAAGGTGTAAAAATTAATTGCACCAACTTTATCCCAATGTTAAATTAACCTGAAAAGATTAAGGATTGGCGTCCATTACAATTATATTATGTTATCCAAGGATTGGTTTTACATTGGTATGGATTGGAAGTGAAAGGAAAAGGAAAACAAAAAATCAATTGTTGATTGATTTAATTAACCCCATACAGTGGTCAGACAATATAATTGCACCAGTAAACCCCTTAAAGTGTGATGAATCGCACTTGTTTCCCTCCAAATGATCCAATCCTCACTCCTCCTTCCTGATACTTTGATTCACTTTCGCTAAGCCCACCCTCCAAAACTGCCGACAACCAAAGGAAATCCTTCAAGATGGTGTGATTTGGTGGGTAAAGTTGATAAAGAGGGAAAAGTATTACTTCAGTGAAAGAAGAAGATGAAGATGAAAATGAAGATGAAAATGATGGTAAAGGCAGGGCAGTTGACGAAAGGGAAAAGGAAAGAGGATAAAGTTAGACAGACAATCGAAGGCATTTTGCCAAGGTATATTCAATAGACCTTTTCTTTTTGTCTATTCCTTCAGTCTTCTTTCACTCATCATCTTTCCTCTCTTTCTTTTCCTGTCTTTCTTTTCATCCTCATCACCATTATCATCAGCAAAACCCAGAAAAACGGATTCAATAATTTCTTTTGTTTTTATTTCTTTTCTCGCCTGTCTCCTCTCTTTTTTGTCTTCATCTCATGGTTAGTCTGACTGAAGCCCTTGGACTTGAATTTTTTGGATTCACGATTAACCAAGATGTACTCTTTGTCATTTTGCTCATTTAATTTAACTTGTCCACTTAACTTATCATGGTTATAAATAATTTACAACTCACCCTTTCCATTGAGAGCAACAATTTACTCTGAAACAACTATTGCTGAAACCAAAACGTCTACAATTTCACCAACACCAGTAACAACAACATTTAACCATTGAATCATCATTTGCAACTCATTTTCACTCTGGTTGAATCTTCATTTGGTAACATTTTAACTGACTTCATCAACAATATCATCAAATATCACATAAACATCGTTTACAATTTAAACTTTCCTTCTCAATCCTCAATTTCAAGCTGTTATCTCTTGCTACTCACTTTACCGACACTTTTTGTTTCAACCTTTTCTCAGTATTTTTTTTCACCCACTTCATCTGTCTATCATCTTTATTAAAACCTATTAGGTTAATCATGTTCCTCTCAACTCAACTTTTCATCTCAATTGTTGTCTTCATTTTAACTTTCTCGTTTATATCAGCATCTTCCACTGACAATGATGTTACCACAAATGAATCTTATGCTGCTATAGCCAACAAAAATGTCGATGTAAGTTCATCATTTAAAGTTAACTGTCTAAATGTTCAATGTCTCCTGTCAACTTCAATGTTAACTGTTCATATTGACTCAATTCAACCAATTCACTAATCTTTGTCTTTTTGATTGTCATTTGTTACCGACCCTCAACCCTCAACTCAACACTCAAAACCGGTTAGGACGTTTTCCGTCAAATGGTCTACAAACTACCTGGGATACCACTTGGTCGACTTCCAGGTCAATCAAATATGCGAGAAGAAGTTCAAAAGTTTCGTGAATTTTTGAAAACTCGTCCCAATCCAAATGATTGGGTAACACTTAAACCCACTCTGCCAAGTTTGTCTCAATGCTTCATTGAAGTTCAAGAGGTGAGAGTCTAACCTTGCTTTTTTAGAAGTGAAATAATCTGATAATTTTTACTCAACTTATCCCAATATCTTGTCACCGTAAATACACATTTTTAGATTTAGTAACAACATCATTAAGAAATGAAATGAAAAGCTCTGGCAAAAGTTACACTGATTTAGCTGATATAAATCCTTCAACTCTTTTGTAAACGCTTAAAATGATGAAAACATGTGTTTATGCGTTTTTTGTGCTTTTTGTCAGTTTCTCAAATTATTTAATCAGATCTTTTGCCAACTCGGTTTCTGTCAAACTAATCATCTTTTCAATCTTTATCTTTACCATGTTCATCTGTGGCATCCATGATCTGTGGTTTATATTTCGTTTTATGTGGCGTTCCTATTGTCATGAATGGTTGTATATTAGACCAGAAAAGTCCCCGGCAGATGTATTAAACTTGGTGGACGGATTCCAGCTTGTCAGGCAACATCATCGGACCTCATCGATATTGACTATAACAGTTGTTAATAAACAGTTTGTGCATCAACATTTGTCATCTAATTTTATTATTTGATTGCTAATTTGATTTTTGTTTTTTTGGCTAAACTTCTTTCTTTTTGCTTGTTTGTTTGTTTACCGAGGCAACTATATACTTTTGTAGTAAATTGGTTAATAATGTTTAATCGAATCATTAGGTTTTATTATCAACTAAACATCAATTCATTTATTTTTATCCTCTTGCTCTTTGTCATCTGAGAGCTTCATTTCATTGAATATCATTGTAATTTTGAAAAATAAAATTCAATAATTTGAACAATAAATTTTGGTTTATTCTGCCAATCATTTCAAGTTACAATGTAAGATTGTCAATCATGATTGAAATACATTCGGTTTCAAATTTCCGTCAGATTTGGTGTAGTGTAAAAGGTTTAGAAATGGATAAAAAAGTAGTAAAAGTGGTAAAGTTGAAACAGTTCATGAAACTCCAATAAAACAAGAAGACGGTAGTGTCACTTGTAATCAACCTTTGACCATGAAAAGAACTGCCAGGAACTGTCCATCAAAAGGATCTTCAATTCAATCACTTGAAACAGCACTTGAAACAATTTCAGTTTAGTTTGAACCACCATCAAAGTGAAGTCATCTTTTCCAACCAGTGACTTGCTGTGTTTACGGCTTATTTAGATAGACCATCTTAATCATACAGAAACTCATTTTGAATTAAAATAGCAACATGTCCACAAATGACTCAGTGATCAACAGTTTGGGTCATCTCATCGTTAACTCGCCAGATATCAGTGAAACTTTGTTGAACATCTTAACTCCAATGGCCAGTCGACAAGGTATCAATCTTCAATTTCTCATTACACTCATTTCAATTGTAACAATTCTTCTTAACATTGCTATAATTTCCTTAATCATTGCCGTTTTTGGTAAACTCAGTAAAATTTCAAAAAAAGCTCTCCTTTGTAGTAAAGAGTTGACTGGAAAATTTTTTAAGCTTCTTTTTTCTCTGGACAAGACTGGATTCAATTTTGGTTCTTCGTTATTCCATGTGCTCAAGATTGTAACGGAACTTGCGCTTCGGCAACACCAGCAAACTGCTTCTTTGGCCCAGTTACTTGATATTGTACGTCTCTTTGCCACTGAGACTCAACACGAGCGTCAAGTAAAAAGTAAACCGCGTCAAGAGCGACAACAATCAACACCAATCTTTCATCTTGCTTCACGAAAAACCGAAGATGCTCGTTCATCTCTGGACCAGTCGCTTCCTCCTTCTTCGCCTTCACCTTATTTTCACACTTCTCCGAATCCAAAAGAGTATAAACCAGTATACGAACTCCTTCCATCAACAAATCAGCTCAATTTGTATCCATTTACCAACTTGTTCACCAAGTCAGATGGTTTAGCAGAAGGTTACAAGAATAGTAATAAATCGAGTCACCGGTTGGGAGTAATTTACGCTGATTAATGGACTAAATCGATCACTGTATTCTAGATTTAATTTATATTTATATTTAATATGTTCACAAAATTGTATTTACGATAAAATTGAATAAACAGATTATTTTATAGAAACAATTTCAAGCTTGTAATTTCTTGAATCTAAAAATTTAAAAAATCGCAACTCGCAAAAATTAAAACTACATAGAGCCGCCATCTATCAGTATAGTTATTTATCACTGTCGTAAAACCGTAAAAGTTTTTTTCGTAAAACATCAACATTAATAACGACAATTAAATTTTGAAATTATTCTCACTTTACATTTAATGGCATTTTTCTGATCTTATTTTTAATTTCTAAATTGCACGATTATTTGAAAGATTTTAAAAATTGAAGAAATAATTGAATACATTAAACATTTGGTTGTTTCAATTTTTAAATATAAAAAGGAAAGTTAAGAGTGAAAAATACAGCATACACAATAAGAAGTGTTAGAAAGGGGAATGACTTTAAAAGTACAATTGGGTGATTTAATGATTTTGTTTAAAAAGACAGTCTTAATAAATATGTAATGATGATGAACCTGATTGACCTTGACCAGAGAAGGCTTCCTGGTCACGAAGAATTGGGTGGAAAAAAGTGTAAACAATATCGCTATGAGCAATTTCTTCCGTCATATGCATCAATGATAGTAAGAAGAAATCAATTTCTGGTGCTCTTTTCTCGGCCACTTCGCGAGTATTACTTCTTCCCATAAAACTAGATGATCTATTTAATGGATAGAGACGAACCAGGGGAAATAGTGAGGTCATTTTTTGATGAAGCTCGTAAAATTCACGATAAGATCTATAAACATAAGCAGGATCTTTTTGATGCTCCCTTTCAACACGAATCACATAAATGTAAACCTTTTCTGGTTCGTACTTTTTGAAATAACTTTCAACTCGTAAACCAATTATTCTTCCATCAGTTTCTTTGGTATACTTTTTGGGAACAAAAGATAAGGTACTTGGGTCGTTGTGGTCACTAGTGAATCGCAATTGGGCCAAGTTATGAAGGAAAAAGTTGAATTTAGTAGAGACCGATGATAAGGTTTCGCCAATCATTTTATTGAATGCAGCTGTTGCTTCAGCTTCAGTTAAACTGGGTAATAAAGTTCGGTGGATATATTTAACCGCTTCAATGGATAAGCCGGGAATACCAGATGAAACCATGAGTGAAAACAGGTTGAGAAATAGATTGGTGTGACGTCGAATAATGTTGAATGCCTGACAGCAAAGATCGACAAAATATTGAAATTGTTTGGATGGTTTATCGCCACCATTGATCACATAAGCCATATCACTTGTTAGTATAAAAGGAGTTCGATCTCGTTTAATTGCACCAAGCATTTGTGCATCTCCAAGGTATTTACCAAAATCAATGTGAAACAAATGTCCTGAAGTGGTTATCATTATATTATCATTGTGTCGATCTCCAATTCCAAGGACATAAGTAACGACCACATAACCTGCCAATGAGTAAGTAAAATTTTCAACCGATTTACGATATTCTAATTCACTTGTATTGTGTTTTTGCAGCCATTCTGATATACAACTATCTCTAAATGATCCAGTTATTCCATATTCTGTTTGAATTTTACGCAATGTTTCAGCATTTTTGACAATTTCAACAAATCCTTTACGGAAATCTGTGGCAATACATCCAAAAGTAACAATTTTCAAGTCTAGTCCTTCTTTAAGCCACAGTTTATCCATTATTTTTATCATTTGCATGGTGAATGAGTCCTGGCGTAAATCATCTCCAACTTTGTACATAGCATCTATTTGAGTAAAACAAGAGCTTGATTGTTCACTCTTGAAGGCCAATTTGATTGGAAGGGTATTTGAGTTGAAATAAAAACAAGATTTAATATTTAGTCCAATAACATGCATACTTGGACTTAGAGGTAAAGCTAATGGGTGTGTCAAAAGGAAATCATCGACGGGTTCCAAATCTCGAGTCAAAGTAACCATTCTTTGTGAACCTTTAGTTGATTTGAGATGATCTGAGACAAAAGATAGTTTACTTAAAAGGGCTTCTTGATTTTCGAAAAGAGTTCTAAGAGCTTCACCACAAGTCAAGAGGAGAGCATTCAAATAGATTCGTGATCTAAAGGAGAAAATTGGATCATCAAGGTTTTGTTTGAGTAACCAGTATAAATTATGAGCAATCCTAACACTTGAATAAGCTTTCTCCAGAAGAAACCAAATTAGTGCAGAGTCAAAATAAGGTTCAAAGCGAAGAGCTTGAATTAACTGAGGCAAATAATCACAGATTTCATCGTTTCTTAGTCTACTAATCCAAGTGACAGCTTGAGATCGAACATATTTGTCCAGAAAAGCTGGCAACAAGAGTTGCATTGCATCAACGGCCGGCAAAGAATTCCATGTTTGTATCATATGGTAGATATCATTGAGATAAGACCATTTCCAGGATGGTGCAGCCTTGAGTACCTTGGGTAAAGCGGAGGGAAGCTCATGTAAATAATGTCTATGATCCCAGATTATGTTTTCATCGGCGCGAGACATTTGTTGAACAGGATCGCTGTTAAGTATAACATGAATATCAGTTTGAGAGGCTGAATCAAGTAGATTAAGATCTTGCTTAATGTATGTATTGATACTAGATTCTGTATCAATTGATGGGAAACAAATGTCACAACCATGATCAGGTAGATTGACAATGATTAATGGGGATCCTTTCTCCAAATTTGATGAATTGAAACAAGTTCTTTCCGTTTTACTGACAATCTCTCCAGTCCACATGCCAAGGAGAACGGATCCTTGGACCAGTTTTTCTTGGAAATCAAGAAGCTTGAGAACACTTAGTGCAACCAACTTGGGTGTTTTCTTTTCACCATTAGCCGAAGACTGATCTGAAGGAATTGCGTTTGATGTTGATGTTATTGTAGACGAAGAGGAGGAAGAGAGAGATGATGATGAGGGAAATTCAATGCCATATAAGTTGAAATAAAGGTAAGACTCTCGAGGTAGTGAAGAGAGTAGAACAGTTTGAAAGTGTAACAATTCATTAAAAACCAGTCTCTGGAAAAGTCCTTGGCTAACAGGTACACGTCCGGTTTTACAATTACCTATTAAATTTTCCCCAAACCAGATTTCACATGAAATATAAAATTCTCTGTATCTCATTTTCCAATCAAATGAAAGACAATTAACGGTGCCAACATAAACCAAAAGTGTTTCAGACATTTGCGATAACGAACAAGGTGACTTGGATTCATCATTAAGCGTTTTGGGTTCAGTGTCTAGATTTTCTTGAGGAATCAACTCGAAATCAACAGGAAAGGTTGAGCAATATAAATTAATCATTTCTCGTATAGCTCGTTTTAATTTGACAATTGCGTGATGGAAAACCTCTTTATGGATTACTTGAAGCTGCTCTTCACTCAATTGATTTAATATAATCTCACCACGCTTTTTATATTGATCATAGACTAGAGAAAGTTGGGATAGATTTTCAATTGCTTCAGTAACTTGAAGTGTATCACAGTTACCAAACAGTGAACATAGCGCTTTTGTGGCTTGAATAACACCTTTTATCGTTTTAACTATGCTCTCCTTACTAGAATTAAAGACCAGTTTACTAATTTCCTTTTCCAATGTTTCAAGTAAAATATTAACCATGTCTCGATTGATTTCTCCAAATTTACATACACATGGTTGAGGCAGTAAGTCATCTGGCGAAAGAGATGTCACAGATTCATCATCCTCATGATTTCGTGCATAAATATTATGGCAAGTTTCATTTGTATTAATCAATGTTAACCGTACATCTTCATCAAACATGTGACATTGATGAATGTAAGCATAATCTGCTAGAGTTGAATCTTTGGTCAGATATTCATTGAGAGAGTTAATTTTCAGCACAAATTCGTCAAAATTAATCCCATTTGTGCCCTCAAAAATTGAACAAACTGCATGGCAAACAACATGTTCAACAGAGGTATTAACATTACAGGTAAATGATATCGGTGATTCCGTTGATTTATGGTATATCTGAAGTTTAACACTTAACGTACAATCTAATTGATAATCCAATCTAGTGCTTGCAACGAATCCTGGATTAGTTAATTTATCACTATATGCAAATTTATTTCGATTTAAATAGACTTTCTGGGCAAAAGAGATCAATTCTGGATCAGCTCGCGAGGTTCTAAAGCGCACACGGAAATTGTCATCAGCTGGTATTGTATTGTTACTGCTAATGAAAATATTATTTGATCCATTTTCATTTTCTGATGAAACTGTCAACTGAGATGCTATTGAAGGAGTAGTCGCTGAAGATTCACTTGGACTTGATGTTGAATCTATAGAGTCCACTCTGATTGGCGTTGGAGGTGAGATTGGTTCTTGTGGGGATGAAGATCCATCTGAAATTTCTTTGGAACCCTCATCTGAGTTTTGGTTATGATCACTATCAATTGAATCGCTGTTTTCTTGATCGTTTCCCTCACTAATCATTAAGGGATCAAATAAGTGTAACAGGTCATCTTGAGGATTAACAGAATAATTTGGCCCGAGATCGATAAGATTTTCGTTGGGTAGCTTTTCCAACTCTCCAAGTTTTCTTATTTTTTCCAACATTTCTCGAACTGCTTCATTGTTAACTTGAGAGGTAACTGATGAATAAAAGTAGGATAAATTTTGGACTGAATTAGAGTTAAACAAGCGGGTTGAGTTTGAATGTTGGTTTTGTTGATGATTCGTGTTTAATTGTTGTACGGCTTGAATGGCGTCTCTTTTGAATGGATCAAAGTAAGGGAATGAATTGCTGTGAGACAAAGCCGGAGGTCTATTGGTACCACTAGCGACCGGTATCCAACTTGGTTTACCAGGATGTGTTTTTATCGGTGAAACAATGGCATAAGTTGATGAAGAGAACGGTGAAAAATTGTTGGCAAAAGAAGGTGATGGAGATGCAGAAGAAGTGGAGGAAGATGAATTCATGTTACTATTACTATTGTTATTATTACTCAAACAAAGGGTATTAGGAGCATTTGTTCGAAATGGATTATTGGATGGTTGATATGATCTTATAGATGACTGTGATGAGGCTTGTTGAGATGTTGATTGTTGTTGTTGTTGGCGATGATGATGATGGTGATGGTGATGCGATTGTGACCCATTTGAACTCATTAAACCATGATCAGAAACAGGAGGAGGGGGAGGAGAGGGTTTCAGTTGAGAGGACACCAAATTATTACCAACAGTACCACCAGTAATTGAATTGTTACTATTATTAATTTCATTAGTGAGTCTTGACGAGGTCACTATAATTCCATTATTATTGTTGTTATTATTAATATTATTAAAGTTAATATTACTATTATCATTCAATGATCCTGGTGTTTGAACACTGTTACACCCTTGTTCATCACGATGGCTTGTTGTAGCCTTGGATGGTGGCGGTGCAATTAATTTAGATAGTTCAATGGTTGGTCCGTTAACAGATTGATTGTTTACCATCCTCCTAGGTAAGGGCACTTTCAGCTTCAGTTCATTGATCACAGTTGGTTTACGAGGTGGTGGACGGATGAATAAACGTGGCGGTAAAGCAGGCTTGGTTTCAGTTTGATCTGGAATAAAAAAAGACATCATTTAGTGACGATTCTTACATAATAAATGATAATAACAAGTTGACTTGTTATCAAAGATTGGTAAGTTACAATAGCAGTTATGGCTGATGAGTATATACATATGGAGAGAGAAGATTGACGGGATGAAAAGAGAGAGAGAAAGAAAGAGAATGAGATAGTTGAAAATCTTGGAAGCTAGCTGTCAAAAATAACCATGAAACAAAGAGAGGAAAGTTGATGGTATGATGAGAGAAAAAAAGAGAGAAGGAAGAGGAAGAAAGTCAAGACAAGAGAGTGAAAGAACTTTGGTTAACATTGATTCTGAAGTTCACAGCCCAACTAAAAACCATCGTAAAGTAACCAAACTCAAGAGGAGATTCCACTTTTATAATCAGAAAATAAATCTTCTGGTCAAAGCTCAGTAAAGTCTTGCAGCTGATAAGCTAAGAGGAAGAGAGAGGAAAATGATAATACAACAAAAGCGTGTTTTGGGGGTATTTTAGGTTAGTGTATGAAAAATGGAATCAATAAAAGCAACAACTCAACATGTCGTTTTGTCATCAAGATGGCCTCTTTTCACATTGTTGTTCGACATTATATTTTCAAGATCTAATAATTTGAAAGAAGCTTGTTGGAAATATTGTTGTATTTTCTATAAATCACTTGAGTGTCAGTTTGTTATGAAGAAGCAATTAGATAATCAATTTTATGAAACCAGCCAATATAGTGGTACTCATAATAACAACCAGTTGAAGACTGATTACCTGGTTTGGTTGGAAAAAAGGTAAACAAGCTTAAAGATAAAAAAGCCAAATAAATTGGGTTGAAGTAATAAGAGCTTAAAATGTTTAAATTAAGTTGATTTGTAACATTATTTCTGTATACATGCAATACAATATGCCTGGCTTTGTTGTAAATATAATTAGAATCAAAATATTCTGTGGAGTTGACCACGAATCAATGAGAAAATCTTTTCAGAGAATTTTTTTTTCTTTTAATTCGGTCAATGATATTGTCAACCACTATTTGGCTGTTGAATTAAACTAAATGGATAGAGAGAACAGACCATAAAATTGGAAATGTAATTTCAGAAGCAGAAAATAGTCAAAGTATGACATGTTGAGAGGGTTGGTTGATCATGATTCAACAATAATCACGGTAAACTAGCATTACTTTTTGATATCAAAATGATTGGTAGTGATGATAATAAAATCGACAAAACTAACCTCGGGTAAATTGTTCATTCATTTTGATAATTGAGTTGGTTCACTTCTCTGCGTTTTTTTTATATTCTTGTTTCCCTGACTTCACGATTTGATATTTTGTAGAGATGTATTTATCGGGTTGAGATCCCTTGGAAACGTTGCACCGTTCAATAAGATAATTATATTTAAAATAAAGGTTAATCTATCTGTTATATGATTGTTAAATGATAATGTGTTAACCAGACGCTTGATTAAGAGGGGCGTATGAGTTAACTGAGGGAGGAAAAAGAGCAGAGAGAGGAAGAACAATCAACAGAAAAAGAGAGAAAAGGAAAAAATATTATATAGTTGATTGTGAAAAAGGAAATCGTAATATGATAAACAATTGAATTGATTCTTGGAATTGATTGATTTATCCGTAAATTTGGTATTAGGAAAGGTTTTTTAAAAACAAATTGGTACAAGTTGTAAGAAAATGATGTTTAGGTAAAGTCTCCAACAAGGCCAATGAGAAGTATAAATTGATCATTAGAGCACCAGATAAATTGATCACCATTCTCTGGTTTGCTACCGTAAGACCTCCATTCACTGCATGTTTAAATGTTAAGGCACTATCAACATCATCCTTGTTAATAAAAAACACAATTTGATAAAAACATCATCACCAAAACATAATGTTGAATGTTGTTGATAGGGTTGCTAAGGTTGTTAATGTTGCTGGTTAAGCTGTTTTGTTTGTTGATATTGGTAGAGACACGAGAAAAAATTTCCTTTGATCCAGTGGTTTAACCATTTTTAATCATTTATAGATCAATACAAGACTGTAAGACACATAATTGATGAAGATTGTTAAAGATGAGCTTTATAAAATTCAAGTTAATTAAATAATTGACTGACAATGACAATAAAAATATTTATAAAAATGTAAAAACCAAGAAACAAGATTTCAAGCAACCAGCAAAGAGAAGCTTTTCAACTGCAGATTGCAAATTGTCAGCCGTAATCTTTCTCCCTAAAAGAGCAAAGAAAAACCCTGCTTTATGCTCTCCCTTCTCTCCCTATCTTCTTTCTGCTCACATTTCCTTTCTGCTCTCTTTCTCTTCATCCCCTCTCTTTCCCTTTCAATTCAAATGTTCAATCCGCTCATCAGCCGTTGTTTACAATTATCATCAGAATCATCATCAACGTCTTATTTTTCTTACCTTCTTCAACTGATTATCCTTGATGGTATTAAATAGGAAAAAGCCTCTGTTCAATTCAACATCAGCCAAGGAAAATGATTCAATCTTCAGTAAGTATGAACAATAAGTCATACAAGTCTTCAGACGACAAATCGGTCAACAGTTGGTTAAACCTAGTGATGAAATTGTTTGGTCTTTTTAAACTGGACCCAGAGTCCAGTGTCTACTTGCCTTCTGGCAATATTGTCTCTCCTTTTATGCCCAACACTGGTTAGCTGCAAGTACGGATTTTTACAGCTTAAAGTACTGTTATTGTTAGCTTGTGTGTTTTTTTCAAATTTCAAGTTGATCTTTGATAGAGACAACTATTGTCAGGCAATGTTGAAAAACGCAATTTATCAACTTGTCATGCAAGATGAATAATTTTTTACCTCGCTTTTGCTTGATTGACTTTTTGTTGTTGAAACCATGTGATGATTTGTTTTGAATTTTTTAAAGCCTCACTCTTTTTTATCATCTTTCTTACCAGATACTGTTAAAATTTAAATGAATCAGGCCATATCAAGTTCTGATGACTCTCTTCAATTTATTTTTTTGCTGTTGCTTACCCAATGTGAAACAAATTACAACTTTAACCTGACCATTCTTTGATTATAAATGAACTTCAATGTAACTAATTTAACGGCAGATTGATTCAAGTTCAACGTTTATTACCGCCCTTGCTGGAAAGTCTAAAGGGATAAATGATCTTCTTGCTGGAAAGTCTCTTTTTTGTCCTCAACTCTGTTAATCTGCTGATAGTTCACGATAATTTACGTGAATTTTACTCTTAATGCAATCCATTTAATTTGGAACCATCTGTTTACCATGCAATTTCATTAATGTGGTAAGTAAAGCATAATCTGTGTTACTGCTAATATTGTTTGTTTACCCAATATTATCATATTCATTGTTTACATTTATATTTCTTCATTAGCATCCAACAGATTGAATTTCATCTTTAAGATACATGATCATTATTTAATTGAATAATTGCTGATAGTGAAGCCAAGTTAAAGCAATAATAATATCGTCTACCAACAAGCAAGGAAAATCAAAGCATGTAGTACGTTTTACATGTAAAAAGCTATTGTCGTATATCAAGTCACCTTAATCTTGTTAATCATGGTTCAGTGATTTACTTTTTCTCATGCAAATCAAAGTGATTACGGAAGTGAAGAGTTTGCAAGGAAAGGTCAAATAGTATAGATAACATTATTAATAAAAATAAGATTAAAGATCAACAGCCTTGAATGTGAAACTCAATGGACTCTACAATCAAAATTGGCTCCAGTTATCAATTGAATGGAGAAAGACAATGATGGTTTTGGAGTGAAATTAAAGGCAATACATCAGTTAATAAAAGTGGTTGGACACATGATTGAATCTTTGGCCAACAATTGTATTAAACCAGCCATAATAAGCCGTAAAAAATTAAAGACTTGGACATGGATAATTTCATTTGTTATTGGCACCGAGAAATACACTGAAACGGAATGGATATTTCGAGTTATTTATACTTTACATTTTCGTGAAAATAACCCAAAAGGGCTAATCCCACGAAGGGACATCGGAAATATTGACTGCATTTGTTAAATGAGTTAATTGGGTTGTGGTTAACCAGATCAGCCATTGAGACATTGAATTCAGTCTCCTGTCTACCATAAAAAATGGATCAAACAGAAATCTGGTTTTCAAGTTTCACTGTTCACTGGTGACATTGATTAACCCGGTGATCATTTAAGATGCAATGTAAACGGAACGATGACTTCACGAAATGTTATGAAAGGAAAACCTGGAGCCATAAATAGAAATGATAATCATCCTTGTTCCTGTCTAATCATGAACAACTCTCGTTGAAGCATCTCAAATCTCAGTGTTGTCAGCAATCCTAACAGTCTCTGAATTAATGGGCTTCTTACAATTAATAATCACATGAACTGGATACCAATCATAATCATTTTTGTAAAGCAAACCTAACTGCAATCGATTACTGGTCTTTCCCTGTTTCATTGTCTTTCCATCTAATAACTGTCCTAATTAAGGTAAATCCTTACACTTGATTGCTATTACCTAACCACTTGTCAATTTTATCTTTAATAATTAGGTTGACGTGTTGACTGTCTTTGTAGACATAAAGGATTGTAACCATGGACCTAATTTCCGATGATAATTATTTTATTTACCCATTGATTTTGAACTGCAATATTTGATTGGAAATCTTAACTTTCGTTTCATAATGTTTCTCAATCAATGTAAACAATTGAATTGACACACCAATGCCAATTGATTACAACAATTAAGTCAGAATAACCTTAAACGCAGATTAGTAATTTGATTAGTAAGTTAATCTACTTTCAAAATGGAGCATTTAATTTCATTTGAAAACCAAAAATAGTCTTTATTGACAATTTGGTACCAATTGTTACAGTCAAAAGAGATGGTAAAATGAATAGTGAAAGCTTAAAACAAAAGCCTTGTCTTAATTTTACAATACGATCAATTTACTGGCTAAATTGCGGAAATAATGAAGCCTGTCAGTTAATTTCAACTTAATCCACATTTTAGTCAATTATTTTTATAATTAAAGGTTTAAGGAAATATTAACTCTTATTGATTTGGCATTTACTTGATTCATAATGATACTTTTAAAATATCTTTTCAGAAGGATTCAAACCTGAGGTTATCCAGACAAAAGCAGATAGAAACTGAAAACGCTTTCCATAATCTTTAATCATCTACGGATTATTATGGAATAGAGGAATTGGATTGTCTCGAGAAGTGATTGAATTGGAATAGTTATTCAAGTCTATTCTGTATATTAATGGAAAGATTATTATGAAGACATTTTAATCTGAATTTCAGGAGAGTCCCAATCGATTTACAGTGAACTAATAGAGGAATATGATTTTTTCATGATCAACTCAGCTTATTTTAAGCTTTTGTTTGATATAGTATTCAATAATTTTTGTGAAAATTTTAGGCTAAAATTATCCTTCTTTATTTATAAGTTGTAACTCTTTTGGTTAATATCATTACATCTTTTATCTTGTTTACCTTCAAATGAAACAGTTAATCAAGTGATCAAATGTAAATCTGACAATTGTCAGTTTATCATATTTAATACTCAATTAGAGCGATTACAAGGTAAATTGCTGGTTTTACAGTTGAGTTTGAATTGAATATTTAGGTTGAGAATTGAAAAAAGGCTTTAAAAGGAATTGATCCTTTCATTGATGATCAATGTTAATCTGCCATTGAAAATTATTGATTGTTATTGATTAAACAACACATTGTAAAAATACAATGTACCAACTACCATAATTGTTTTAAACAAAAGATACAATTAGCCATTAATTGTATCTTTTGTTATTAGACTGTTTTACAATTAGGAGCAACAATTATGCAGGCAAATTAACCAACTAGTTTCATTTAAATTGGTGTTTTGCTCGGTGAAAAGCAAAGTAAAGCAGAGCAAATCATTGAATACATTACATTCAATGTATAATGTAATATACATTTAATGTAATGTGTATTGGGAAGAAATGGCAATTTTTCAACTAAAGTTTCAATTTGTTAATTTTAATTCTTAAACAGTCAATAATTTGATGATAAAATCGATTCTGATCTGTTGGTTCTTATTCGAATCAACAAATTGTCTTCTAATATCTCAATGAATTACTGTTTCACTTTTACTAATTGCCGTTAGATTAACCTTCACTTTTCATTTTTCAATTGTTGAATTACATTAGACTCTTTGTTTTGATTTTTTTTTGATTTAATTATTCGCTTTTTTTAATTGATACTGAAAAGAGTGAATTATTATCATTTTAACTTGTTGCTTCCGATTGCAAAGTGTCTTGGTTAAATCAAGAGTCATTATGAGTGGTGGAAGATGATTTAGTCAATTCATTTTATTTTTGTTCCGCAGCTTCGATGTTAAGAGAAACCATGCTTGATCTTGAAAAATTGAACAATGATTAATTACATTAGTTCCATTGGATTCAACAGCTACTATGAACAATTGATCGGAAAAATCAAGTTTGATGAGCGATTCCATTCAATGACAATAATTTGTGATGAGATTACATTTTAAAAAACGTTTATCCCCTTCTCTATGCAAATATAAAATCTCAAATGTCAATATTGCAAATTAGAATTGAACACTTATCTGAATAACGTCTCTCGAAGCTGATTTTTTCAAGTGTTGATGAAAATTCTGCTTCCAAAATTGAGTTTTAAGGACCTGTATTTTATTGTCTTGAATTGAAATATCAAGCCCCAATGAGCATAATTCAAGTTGAGTGCAGGAAGAATCTGTGGCATCGGAAAGTTTTCATTTCAAGGTTTAGTCACAAAATTGAGCAAATTTATGAGTTCTTTTCTGATAATTCATAAATATTTATGGATATAATTGTAATTTGTTTCCAATTACAAGTGTGATCACAGCGAGTGAAAAAAAATGAAATGAAATGGAGAAGGGAAAAGGAAACAAGGGAATTAAATTTCCTGATCGTTTTGACAAAATATGGCGATGAATCCATGAATTTATGAATATATTTTGTTTTATGAGCAAATTGGATCCGATTTTAACAGCTGCTTTGATGTAGCTAGAGTCAAAAACACCAAACCAAGGCACCTGAAGGAACAATAGTTACTTTTCAGTTGAACTAAAGATAAAATTTCAACATATGTGAGAAGGCGAAAATAAAGTTAGAATGCGACCAGATTTCAAGGTAAAAGATAATCAAGAGGAACTGTACTAGGCTGTGGAGTCATGTTAAATATCATAACAAAAACACCGAAAAGTAAAATTGATATATGCTGAAAAACAAATAGTAGAAAGCACTCTATCGCAAAGCGAAATAGTACCGCAAAGTATGCAGCAACAGCAAGAAGAGCTAGAAATAAAAATACAACATTCGTTATATCTTCTTCTCGTCCAAACTCATCGCGTCGTTCCCGTTGTCTGGCAAGCTCGGTGTGCCTGGGCCTTGATCTGATTCGATATCTTGCTGTAAATAAAAAAGAAAGATGTAGATTAGTTTCAAAAATTCAACCTTCGCTGTTTAAAAATAGAAACAAGAAGTTTCTAACCTGGAGGTGTAGGTGGATGTTCAATGTTACCTCTTTGGTTGATTCTGTTTAGCCATGAAGCAAAGTTTGTAAAAGATAGACGATTGGAAAGTTTCGTTAAATTAACCAATACTTGACTAACAGCAGTTTTGGGACGGAATGGGCATGTAGCAACGTGTTGAGCTAAATCCTCTAATTTAACAGTCTTTTGACAGCCTTTTTCTTTATAATCACAAAAAATCAGTAATCGACCCAGAATGTTTATCACAAAAATTGGTGGCTTTGTAAGAGTATCATAACTTTCAATTGGAAGCTGATCTAGTGGACAAGTTTTATGCCTTTGTAGCCATTCGTAAAGGCAATCTCGACAGTAAGTATGGCGACATTTAGTTGTGACAGGATCTCGAAAGACATTCATACATATTGGACAGGTGATGTCCTCCGCAAGGACACCCAAATCAGAAAACCTTTTTAAATCATATCCCATGGCGCCAAGAAATATTAAAAAAGATGATCTAGAGATAATTAGATTGAAAATATATGGATTAGAATAATCAAAACATAATGAAAAAAGTAAATGTAGAGATAATTCAATGGTAAAAAAGATGCAAGCAAAAAAAACAAACTCTTACTTAGGCTTAACTTAACGGAACAGAACTTTGCACAGAGATTATTATTGATATTGGTTCCAAACCATTTGCTTGATGAACATAAATATAAACACAAAGAAAAAGTCAGATTCAAACCCAAATTCACTTAATTGTTAAAATTATTTTAAAAATTGCCAACAGTTGATTCAATACGAAAAAGCTTTCCAAATTTGTTGCTTCAAATTACATAAGAGCCATCTTGAGGAATGAATTAAAACCTTATACAATCGCTGGTTTGGTTAAAAATTTAAAACTCTCCAATTGTGTTTAATATGATCCAGTACAATTATTAGTAATTTCAATCAGATTAATTTCTAGTTCCTATGGAATATGCATTTTATTTTCAAGTTAAGAGGAGAAATCTTCAACTTGGAATCGAAACATATATTTCGACTTCTCGCATCAAAAGCAATAATGTTAAGTTGCTCGATGAATGTCATCGGTGAATATTCCTAAAACTGCGCTTTTACTGTTTAAAATCAATTGTGTTAATTAGCTAAATAGCTTTCACTAAATTCACCTCTGTCATGATGATTGTAGGTGCTACGATTCTCACAATATTGAGGTTCAAAGTTTTAAGACCATTGGTCGAAATTTTTCAAAATCTTTTTGAGTTTTAAAGTGTTTTTTGCCTAAATGATTGGAGAAACAGGAATATACCGTTGAGCTTCTTGTTGTAATTTTTAATCTAAACTCGACTATCTTTGCCTATGCATTCAGTCTTCAGCATTCATGACTAACGAGCAATATACAAATAGTTTATCAAGTTTAATTCAAACATAAACAGCTAAATTAAGTAAATATGAGGCTCCACTCCACACACTCAAAACTTTCATTGAGTAAGTGATAGTTCATCGAGAAGTTAAATGATTTAAAAACGAAGACGAAACCCGAGTGGTTACAATAACTTCGATACGGTGACGAAGAAACAAATTACTACAAGCATCTCTTTGAAAAGTATAAAGGTGCAAAAATATTGAAACCAAAAACAATTTAGACAATGAAGATAATTTACAGTGTCGACAATTGTGCAGTGAGTTCATTGCTGGACCATGGAAGGATCTAACGCTGGATGAAATTACTGTAACACCAATCGAGTAAGTGTCAAAATTAACCAACCTTGTATATAAACTAACAAAACCATTACTTGATTTGTCAATAGAGATGGACTTAGTAACCGCATCTATGCTTGTACTAATTTGAAATTAACCTCATCCAAGCAATCAGGATTAACTGCTAATATTCCTGCCAAACTGGTGGTTCGTTTGCATGGCAGTTCATTTGTTGGTGATCAAGGTGACATGATTGTTGTTTCAATGGATGCTTTACCCTTAATCGGGGAAAAACTTTACCAGAAAGGATTTGCCCCGAAAATTTATGGAGTTTTCAAAGAAGGCAGAATTGAACGTTACATCGAGGAATATCATTTTCAAAATCGCTCTTAACTGAACTAACAATTATTATGGCATCTATTAACTTTAAAATTATAATCATGCATTTTTCGTTTTATTCAGGGCATAAATTTTACTCCTGTATCCCTTGAAAATAGAAATATAAAATTCAAAAAGTATTGAATAAAAAAATAAAGAAAAATTGTGATTTTTGAGTTAAGACTTACAATTGTTTTATTGGTGAGTTTTTACAAGTTTGTAACTGTAAATTGGTAAAGGTATTTTCGCATGATCTCGAAAGGATCTCGAAAGGCATTTGTACCATTTGCTTGATGAACATATAAACACAAAGAAAAAGTCGGATTCAAACCCGAATTCAATTAATTGTTAAAATTATTTTAAAAATTGTCAACAGTTGATTGAAGACGAAAGAGCTTTCCATTTGTTGCTTCAAGTTACATAAGAGCCATCTTGGGGAATGAATTATAACCTTATACAATATCTCGAAGTTATGAGATAAAACACTCGAGTTTATGTCTCATAACTTCTCGATGCAGTGGTCTAACTATTAGTTACCAAGCTACATGAACATACATTAATTAGTTCGATTTCTTAACAATTTAGCATATTAGCTTAGCATCCCAATAAACAACTTTTAATGAATTTTAGCTGATTCTTTCTCATCTTCACCAAATAAGTTTACCTGATCTGTCAAAAAACATGGAATAAAAGTTTATCCAAAGTGCCTGCGTTCTGGTAACAAAATAGTTCAGATTCATGCTGAGATTGTAATTATTTACTAGATATATTTACACTGCGAAATCTATTAAAAGTCAACCTTAAAACTACAATATCTATCCGTTGTTAGTTTTAGGGCAATGAGAATGCATCTCACAGAAAACTTGAACGTTATCTCAGTGTCTATTGACCTTATTTATTGAACAAATAAAAGACTTTGAAAACTGTTAATTAAGAAGTGTATTGAATTGAAATTCAAATTTAAGGACGTATTACAATTTTTCGAGAGCTTTTAGATTTGATTTGTTATTCAAGGCACTTTATTATCAGCATTTTTTTTCTTATTATATCCAAACATCCTTAGAAGTAGTTATATTGGCATTCGTAAGGAAAGCTTCTAGATCGGATAGAACGATGTCCGTATTTAGCTCCTCGGGTAAACACATTAAATCCATCGCATCAGTTTCAAGATCCATATTAGTTATAGACAAACTGTCTAACCCGAGGTCGTCGGCGTTTTGTAAATCATTAGGAGTATAAGGAAGATCAAGATTATGGCTTAGACCTAGACCTGAGTCAGCACTTTCTTGTCGAGAATGGTCTAAAATAATTGCATCGCTTCCACTCAGGAAGGGATCAATATTTGTCGTGAAGTTTTTCTGTTGATTCTGAATTTCAGCAGCCCGCTGCCTCAATTTCTCTCTTTCATCTGTTAATTCCTTAACACGACGGAGAGCTAGTTCTTGTTGAATTTGTTGTTGGAGCTGCGCCTGTAATTGTGGTATTGGCAATGGTAATGGTTGTGTTTGGGGTTGCGATTGTTGTTGTTGTTGTGGTTGTGGTTGAGACTGTTGTTGTTGAAGCTGCACCTGTAACTGCGGTAAAGTTTGTGGTAGCTGTTGTGGTATTTGTTGTGGCTGTGGTTGTGGTTGAGGTTGTGGTTGCGGTTGTGGTTGCTGTGGTTGTTGCTGCGGCTGCTGAGGTTGCGGCTGGGGTTGAGGTTGAGGTTGAAGTTGGGTCTGTTGCTGAGATGATGGTTGTGGTTGTGGTAGTGGTGGGGGTGGTTGTTGTTGTTGTGGCTGTGGCTGTGGTTGTTGCTGTTGCTGTGTTTGTTGTTGTTGTTGTTGCTGCTGCTGTTGTTGTTGCTGTTGTTGTTGTTGCTGCTGCTGCTGTTGCTGCTGTTGTTGTTGCTGTTGCTGCTGTTGTTGCTGTTGAAGCTGCATTTCCAGCTGTAAAGCTTCATTTCTAAGTCTGAAGGCAGTTAGCCGAGGATCTTCCCAAGTAGTTGTTCTAGAAATATGATTTATGTAATATGGTTTGCCTGTCTTGGCTTCAAAGGCCATTTGCCACCCTTCGGGTAGTTTGTCGAAATCATAACCGCGAGGCTGTGGGGCAACTGCAAAAGTTGCTTGAAGTGTTGCCGGAGAAGAGTGAGCACGAAAGTGATTGATCGTGATTCCGGGACGAGGGGTAGGGTTACACAGAGTTGGTGTAGAGTCCAAACTTGTTGCATCCAAACTTGACTCACGGCTATGTGAAGCCGATTTAGATCCTTTCTCAGGTGGTGTAAAAAAAGATGCTGGTAAGTCACGTTGGCGCATTGGTTTACTTAAGGGCACACGACCATCCTTGGGACCTATGGCCGCTCTAAATAATTCATCTAAATTGTGATTGGCATCTTCGTTCAATCTAACAATATGATTAGATTTGTGGTTTCCTGCCATTTTTACACCTTAGTAGCTAGTTTATGTTTCGTTGTCTATGGCAAAAAAAGCAGCTTCACAACCACTGTTTCTCTCTTCAACCTTTAAAACATGAAAAAAAGAAAGAAAGAAAAAAGAAAAAGAAGCATAAATGAAACAATATCTGAAATAAACAACTGAAAATAATTTACAAAACTTAAAATAAATAATAATGATTATTATTGCCGAGAAAACAAAAAAAAAATAAATAAATAAAATCACAAAAATAATTGTAAAATAAAAAGTAAGGTTGATTACTTTGGTTACTTTGAAGGGCACCAAAGAATCAAAAGAGTAGCAGTGAAACAACTTCAATCGAAACGCTACCTGGTGTCAAAAATTTCATTTATACCTGTAACTTCAACTCAACTTTTCTTTCATCTTCATCTTCTTCTCTTTCTTTCTCCTTCAGATTTCCTCCCTCTTTCTTTTTATCCTTCTCTTGCCTCATCATCATCATCATCTTTCTTAGCCTCTGAAAAGGTATGCAGGGTGCCCTTGTTAGCCCTGGCCTGGACCAGGCAAATCTTTCTTCTCTCTCCTCTTTCCCGGTCAGGTTTTATTCCCTCTCTCTTTATCTACCTTTGCATTTTCATCATCATTCACTTCAATCTTTCTCTTCTTCTCTTCTCTCCTCTTCTCTCTCTTTCTCTTCTAGTTACTTCCATCATCATTTTTAAATTGCTGATTCTCTTCATTTTCAACCAATATTCTTCTCAAGATCCTCTCTTTCTCTCTGGTAAGTCAAAAAAAAGGTAAAAAAAGATTTCTCTTTTCCTTTCTCCTATCTCTTTCTCATCTCTTTCTCATCTCTCTCTCTTTTTCCCTCTATCAATAAAGATCATAGTTATATTCTGGTTGATTTGATGGTTATGAGGAGGAGGAGTATAATAGTGTTGATAATAATCATCGGTCTGATGATCAAGTTTATCTGTTTCATTCAAGTAATTTTTTCATTACCATTGCATCCAATCAATAGGTTTGTTTGTTTATTTTATTTGCCTCGTTTTTTAGCTTCTTTTTCATTATTCTCTTTCTCTTTCTCTTTCTTTCTTTTTCTCTAAATCACAGAAGAACGCTAATTTCTGAACAATTGAAATTGAATGACTTTTCTCAAATTTTTCTCAAATCTTTTCAATACCTGATCCCTGATCATCCATGTCATTAGTTAATCATTTAACTTTTCTCATCTTTTCTCTTCATCCTCACAGGCTCTTCATCGTTTTTCATGGTTTACTATTGTCTTTTCAACGGTGGTCCCTTATGGATTCAAGTAAAACCACTTCTCATGACAAATGGATGAAATGCATCATTTTACTTGGTGTGAAAAAGGTAAACACAAATTCCAAATAACTGGACACTTAAATGGAGAAATGGAATTTTATTTCATCAAACAAAATGAAACAATCAGCTTTGTTTTATTGGTTTCACCATCTTTTGCGGACAACCAAATACTTAAGATGATTGTCACCCTCTAATTAATTCTATTGTTTAAACCAAGTTGTACTCTTTATGGGGTTAAACACAAAGGTTGAAGACCATAGAGGAATCATTTCACTTCCGATTGTAAATGACCGCTAACCTTGAAATTTTCTCTTCTTTTTTTTCAGCCAATTTCTGATGAAGTATGTAAAATCATTGCTTTTCCTTTCCTCAGATCTTTCAACTTTTCAAGAAACTTAAAGATCAATTATAAAACTTCCGGTTATTAACTTAAAGATCAAAAAGCAACTTATCAATGGCTATCACCTTTGCAGTTTGGAAATGCCAGACACCATAAAGATCACATAAAAGCAAGGCATGATTTATCAAGTCGAAGCAAGATGAAGGTATATCCAATTAAGTACATCAATGGTGGCTCATGTTAGCTTTATTTTAAATATAAATGTTTCTCTTTGTAAACATGATTATCTCAATGAAACAGGCAATTGAAATTATATTGGCAAAATTAAGGCAACAGATTATGTATTACAGATTCAAGTTTGATCAACCTTAACCTGGATTGAAGTGAAAAAAAGCTAAAAATTTATGAACTTTTTTTCATAAATCTTGTTAGATCAAACTTTTTACTTTTTGTACATATTTGAAACCAATTTTACTGTTTACATCATTTAGCTTTGCTTAGTTTTGTTTTTGTTGTTTTCAAATCGCAACAATTAGCATTCACACTTGAAAACCCAACATTAATCTAGATTAACTCAATTTCATTTCAATTTATCCTGTTTAATCATTATTGATGATTGTTATTTGCATAACAAATTGAATATAAGGTGGTCACCATTGAATACTTTCATAAATATAAACAGTTAACTTTCATGTCATTTAACAGTTACAATCCTTTCTTTTTAATAGGTTGAAACAAGCCCATTTTATTGGAAACAATTCAATTGGAATGTCATTTCAAGTGTAAACTCATGTAATAATCCATAGCTTGTAAGTTTTACACCTTAAATTTTGTGACTCCTGAACTGGATTACGGACAATTTAAAAGAAACCAAAAGCCGTCTTAATTGAGGTATCATGTGATTCAGATGACCTTCGATGTAGCGTCGAAAAGTCATGAATAATGAAAACTGGTCTCACATATCATCATTGAATTTTCTCATCATTCTCTCTCACTCTCACATGCACATTTTTTCCTTGTTTATTAGTTTGAATTAACTTTCGAAATCATTTAATGCATTAAACATCAACAATCACCATTTTAACTTGTTGTTTTATCCAATTATCCACAGATCACCACTCATGAGTCCAAAGAGGATATACGATGATGCTCCAAAATATTTGGTCCCTCCAGATGATCCAACCTTAATCCAATCTATCCAGGAAACTCGTGATTTATTGGAGAACCATTTTAATTCAGTGGATTTAACCTCACTTTACTTACCTAATGATGTTGATAAATTACGTTCATGTGATTTTGAGGTTCGCCGCTATTTATTTCAAACAAATTTAAATGTTAACCAAGCCGTTCAAATGATCAAGGATCGATTAACATGGAGAAAGGAGATGTCATTGGATACTTTACGATATCAAAAATTTCCAATTGAATTTTACCAATCAGGTGGTATTTTCGAGTTTAAGGTAAGAATCAATTCATTCTTATCCATTATCTGATCACTATAAATCTCAATCAGTAAATTGTTTGCTTAAAATCATCTGTTGCATTATCATAGACTAAACATCAATACTTCAATAGTAAATCTTATTTTGCAATTTAACCCTCAAATCATTCAATAGTAACTGTAAAACAATATTTTACAATTTACTGATTACTGTTAGTTAAAAGCCATTGATGAAAAACCATAAGGTAAAACAATCAATTAGCAATTATTAGATTGATGAAAACAAATGTATGAATTGATGTTATTTGATCTTTACATTGCCATGTCCATGATACCTGATGATCGTCACTGATCATTTTGATTGTTAAAAATTGATTTTTTTCCCTTTCACCGATTTTGATTAATAAACATCAGCCAAAATTAATTGAATGAAACAAAAAATGGCTATAGATAATAGTTAAAACGATTAAAATAATAATATTAATATTAAAAAATGATAATAATAATGATACCATTTAAAAAAAACAGGGAAACAAGTTGAAATAGCTTTAAGGGTCAAGTCAAGTGTGTAATTAATTTAATGATGAAACAAACCATTCAACAACAAAATCAACTAACTAACTATTTCTCAATCAGCCAGTTCACTCATTAAATACTAATATTATCAAACTAAAAGAGTAACCAAAAAGGAGAAGAAGTTGAAAGATGAAATAACCTTTTTCCTTTTCATCATTTCTCCTTCTAATTTTTGCTTACAGACAACATATACCTTGACCTGAGAAAGACCTTTCAAATGTCTTCCAAAAAAAACACTATTTTTCAAGCAAACAAACTAAAATATCAAAAGCTGTATTTACCTTTAAACTCACAACAAATATATTTTTCTATGTATATTATGGTGTACATACAACGATATTTTTGTTGAAAGTAACCTTTTCATCTTGATGTTGTTGACCTAAGGTTAAAAAGGACCCAATAAAGTGAAAGGACCAAAAATAAGGCCTTTTACTTTTTGTTATATTTCGCTTTTTCATTCTACATCATCATCATCTTTTCTGGTTCTTTCTTCTTCTTTTCTTTCTTTACCAGCCTTTTACCTTTTTTTTTTGTTGTAGGACTTGTAGGTTACAAGGCCAAATCTAGGACCACTTTGCATTGCACGGTTAAATGATTTTTTTGGCAGACATAATGATTTATGACCCTTTCCTTTTAAGTATATGTACCTGGATCTTGATTCAAACGTCTCCAAATAAGTTAATCACAAAATTAGAGGTTGATTAGTTGCAGAGTAACGAAGCAACAAAACAAAACAAAAAGTAGTAGCCATAGATTGAATAAAATTAATATTTTGCTGGTTCTTTCAACGGTCAAACCTGATTTTTAAGCTTCTCATTATCGCTACCATTAACGCACATATTATTGTTGTTTAATCACTCTTATTTAGGAATCATAAATTAACGAAACCATTTTCATTAGGCATTTGGGAATATTGACCATCTCACTATCGTTAAACTGGAATCAATTGAAATTGTTGAACGTCCATTCAACATTTCTTTGTTTGATTTTCACAAAATGTCAATGTTGTCACATCTCTGTGTCTAGATAATGAAACAGCAAACTGTACAAGGGATTTGTTGTTTGAATCATTTGTCAATGATTAATATTGAAAGTCTTTAAATAATCTTGAATCCAGTCAAACCTTTTAACCATGTAATAACATTAGATAAGTATTCAGTTTGTGTGTAAGATTAACTTTAAATTATGTTGCCTTTTTGCTTCTTTTTTTTGCTGTTTAACTTTGACAACCTTAACTATAACTTAATTAAACTCTTTCACTTCTTGGCCTCAAGCAATCTTTGAATGTTGATCATGAACAATTCAAAAAGCTGAAGAAAAAGATGGCAAAAGAAACACACACACAACCATGAAAATTGAAAACTTCACTGGGTATTTCCCATATCAGATAATCTTAATATTTTTTGCTTCTTTCACTCTCTATACCTTGTTAGTTGGTTTTAATTTACTCAATTGCCATCCATACATAAATACTATGTAGTAACTATCATAATACAAACATAATAAACTGAATCGTTTCAAGGTAAGCCTTTCATTTACTGCTTAACTGATTACATTGAACATCAATGATTATTGTTTTGTAATTCTATCTTCGTTAGCTTATTATTTTTATTACTAACCAATTAATCAAGATATTGATAAATATTATCTAATTTTCCCTCCTAAAGGCCTTTTATGATGATTATTATATAACATTGTTCAATCAATGATACTGAAAGAAAGATTGAGAATCGGAAAAAAAGCATTCACAATTGATTAATGATTACCAATAATGCTATAGCAAGACAACATTAAACATTTTTATCTCAATCATTTAAAACATCACAACATCGATTAGTATTGGTAATTGTTTATGATTAAAACAGCAATGTCTTCAATTGTTCAGATGTAACAATGAAATAATAAGCTCAGAATCTTAATTTTAATAAGTTGATCATATTTAGCTACAAACAGTTGAATCAACAGTTGGTGAAGCAAACAATTACAGTTTATCAAATATTTAAAACTGTAGTTTTAAAATGGTTTGAGGTTTAACCAGAAAATCTGGGTTTATTTTGCATTTGAAGTGTCATTTTATAACCCAATCATTTGTTTCCATTGAATTTCCCGAAATAACTTTGATTAAATCATTATCTCTAATAATTATTTTATTTCTTTTCTCGTTAATTGTCTTTAGCATGATAATGATGGTGATCCGGTTTTATACGTCCGAAGCAAGTTCAATGTTAACATTGAAATATTGTCTAAACCTTTACGTCAATTTTTAATCTTCTTTATGGATCAAATGGATCAACGATTTTCTCGGGAACGATCTTGGGGATTGGTATTTGATGCTCAAGGCTTTGGATGGCACAATATTGACTTTGACTTTCTCCATCTAATTATCAAGATATTGAAATATTACATGCCCTGGTCGGTTAAATATGTCATCATCTACGAGATTCCCTGGTTTCTTGAATCAATCTGGAAAGGAGTTCAACATTTTATACCCGAAGATGGTAAACGTCTAATCAGGGTTTACAATAAGAAGACAATCGGAGAAACAATTGATCCAATGAACATGCCTCAAGTTATTGGTGGTTTATCCAAAGAGAATCACATTTTCATTCCTGAAGGAGTTGAACCAGCAACAGTTATCGGTAAAATTGAGCTTGGTTTAAATGATGAGGAAGTTAATCGTATTAAGAAACATCTTGCCAAATTGGATAAAGAAATGGGTGAATTAATTAAAGTATGAAAGGAAAATCAAGAAAAGGATCAATTTACTCTCGCATTTCACTTGTTAACAATTGTCTTAACTTATTACATTTACGTTTGCAATTGGCTTTTTGCTGTTATTCAACTCTCATTTTATTAAAACATTTTCTCACACAAAATGAAAGTATCCTGACCAATGACCACAATAACTGATGGTTTGACTTTTCAAAATGAGTAGTCTGACCCAAGGTGAGGTTTCATTCTGGTTTGGTCAACTTAATACTTTTGTTTTTTTTCAATGTTCAAATATTTTCAAACTCTTATTTTAATAGGTGTGGTGAAAATTCATCAAATTTTGTGAGAAAACTTAATAGTAACCATGTAATTAATCATAACTGATAGTTTAAGGTTGATTATTTTTGCTCTCTTTTATTGAAAAAATGAACTTTGATTCTGGTTTCTTTCAAATCGCATTGTCAATTTTCAAATCAAATGATGGTTAAGCAAGGTGTGTTGATATGAAAATGAAAGCGCTTCACTTAACCACACACTAACCAAGATAAAGCCAATATTTTGCAATGGTTTTTCACATAAAAAGACCGTTAAAGATGTAAAACCAAATCTGCTTTAAGCTCAGAGATTATCATATCACAATAATGAATTGACATTGAAGAGGCACATAAAAACAGTGTTTATGGTAAATCAAATGATTTTGTCATTTGATCGTTTCAATTATCAGAATTGTCCAATTTGTGCTTGATATTTGCACTGAACAAATGCAAATAGGATATGAGATTTGTGTCGATACAAAATATTTCATTACTTAAAGTCTGATAGTTGATTAGCTAATCACATTATCAATACAATATTGTGTTGATACAGAAACGGAAAATACGTGACAACAATTCTAGCCATGTTAACGCCGGTTCTGATTACTTATCAGCAAAACAATTGAGACTTTTTCATCACATTCCCCTCTATTTAAAGGGCTTTTTCACCACTTTTCAAACATGGTCAGTATGAACTTTCCATTATTAAGAGTTGGTTAGTAAGTGTTGGATATTCATGAAAAAGGGACAAAAATGGGAAAAAGTCAGTATTGAAACATTTTTTACAGAAGTTCATTAGAATTTAATTTTAGCCAATAAGTGGGATGATTTAGTGAGAAATATTCGCAATCAAAGTCTGATTGAATTGTTTGGATCAATTTATCCCAATATAAGATACGAAAATTATTAGCAACTTGTTTTACGGGTCTTTGTTGTTATGTACCTTGTTAGCCACTAACCTATGATTTGTTTCCCTTTCAACTTACTACAGAACCGTGAACAATGAACGGAAAATACTAGAAATTTAGATAAATGGTTATTTTTTTAATCTAGTTGAATTCAAATTGTTCAATGGATCAAATGAGATTGAATAGATTATCCACTTTTCTCTGGATTGAAATGAAGTTTTTTTTCAAATCGTTTTTAGTTGCAGTTTGACTTTGACTTCAATTCTGGGTCTTTAGTAAGAAAAGTGGACTAAATTCAATTCAGAAGTTGTTCATGATACTCGATGCATGTGTTCCAAGTTCCATATTTCGTTGATTTAATAGTGAATATATTAATTATAGTTTGCTTGGGCAGATTGTCCATTGAAAACTAAGGTCTCCACAGTTGATTAGCCATTTTGATGAGTCTTTGATTTGTAAGTAATTTTTGAATGGTTTTAAACGTTGAAAGGAATGAAATATCTAACCATTTAATGGAACCGTTGGGTGCATGGAGTATCTGATTGGCCTTTGAGTGACTGAATTAATGAGAAAATGGTTGAATTACAATTAAATTTAATTAAAAAATAGAGAACCCTTAAAAGGATAAAAATTATATTCATAAATCTTATCTTGCGCTATCTGGTGAGCTTACAACTAAATAAATATTTCACGCGAGAAAAGTAATTGAAACTTGTTAGTGTGATTATGTTAATTAATTTTATCCTAACTGTTTATCAAATTCAAATTTATTCAACAAGTTTATTTAAACCTGAAATGTTACAGTTTAATGAGGTTCTAATTTTTTCCAAATTCATTAGCAATACTATGAACAGTGTTCATTGAACACTGTTGCTTTGGATGGTGATGAAAAAAGAAGTGTTTGTAAATTGTCTTGGAGATATTTATCCACTTACAATGGAAATCAAAGTTTACTTGGAAATGGTTGAAATTTTCATAATTACCAATTTAATCAATTGGCTAACCAGACATAATCATGGAATATGGATTCTTCATGATTTGAAACGCTGACTATTCACTGTCAATCACACAGAGAAAGCAATGCCAGAGAAGCTGCTCTATGATTAGAGGAGATGAAATGTGTAGCTCATTCATAATCATTTTCCGTTTTTTTTTGCCTGGAAAGAAATCCAATTTTAGCATCACTTTAAATCCACTCCCTAAATCCTCATGACTTTAATTTCTTCTTCTTTCCTCGTCTTCCACCTCCTCATGCTTATCAACATGATCTTCGTCTTTATTTTCATATACACATCTGTATGTTCAATTGATACACATGATATAAACAAAATTATTTTTCTATCTCAAGATTGTTGACTTGTCTCTGACTCTCGCTATTTGAATTACAATTAACTTCCTCATCACGATTCCAAATAGCATGTCAACTCCAACAACCAAACTCGAGGTGAAATTGAATCCAGATTGTTGGCGAATTATTTGTGATTTACTTGACTATCGTTCACTTTTACGTTCTCGTCTGGTTTGCTCTTCTTGGTGTGAAATGACAACTTCCATCGTATACACAACTAAATCTTCACTGGCCATTTTTGGTCCCAGTCCAGAGTCACATCGTCGTCGAAGTCAATTACCAATTGGACGTGCAAACTGCAATTTCAATCATCACCAAATTCATCCCAATGATCGTTTAACCATTAAATCCATCAACAGTTGGTCTCATTGGAGGTCTCACAGCGATTCAATGATACATTCTCTAAGCAACTTGTTGCCTTCACTTCGTGTTTTAATGTTGGATTGTTTTGGTTTTTGGCTGACAGCTGATCAATGGAGGCTACTGGGGAGTTCATTGACATTACTTGAACATTTGAATGTTCTTAATTGTACTCGTTTAGACGAAATTGTCCATTTTAAAGGCCCACCATCTTTAGTTCATTTTGAAATCCATCATTGCTTTTTTGTTGATCCCAAAAAGATGGACAAATTTTTAATTTCAAACCAGTCAATCACATCTTTAATTTTCCAAGGCTCGGAAGACTTGGAAATTAATCTTACTTTTTGCCCATCTCTCGTTAATCAATTGTCATCAGTTTCTCTAATTGGCTCGTATTTGGGAACCACTTTCATAACCAATTTAACATCAACCGTAAGAAGCAATGCTACTTCATCATTGACTGTTCTTCGAGTCTCTTTTGTCACCAACAAGCAATTGGCATTAATATGTTCGGCATTGGCTCATTCATTGCAAATCTTTGAATTCTGGTCTAATATCGTTGAGATACGTAATCTGAGTGAACTAACATCTCTTCAACAATTAACCTTTTCCTGCACTGGAACACGATCTTCCAATTTCAATCAAGACTTGTCCCTGATGACCCGAGGAACACCCGCTTTAGTGTGTTTAGCCATAAAATGTCCATTCATTGACGACACTTCAACTTCAATCATATCAATAAACTGTCCCTCAATTGTTACATTACGTTTAATTGGGTGCAATTTACGGGAAACAAGTTCTATTTCTTTGAGACATTTAACTCGACTCAAATCATTGGAATTTATTGAAATAACAAATACCAAGATCGATTGTACTGGTTTAAATGAATTCATCGACAAGATGAGCTCAACTCGTCTGCTCTCACTTCCAAATAATTTTAATTTGTCGTCAAATCATCTCCAACAATTATCATCTAATTTGCTAAAAACTAGTGCGATAATAGAGATCACAATGGATGGTCTTAACCCAGAATCATTCAAAATGATCAACCAACCCCAATCAAATAAACCACCTGAACGTATTATTATCACTGGAGAAGCTAATTATGAGCGATTTAATTTTGTACTACCAATGCCAATGATACCAAGAATGTAAACAACCAACGGTGATAAATGTAAACAATTATAAACGATAAATTATCATTTTATTTAACTAAGAAGATGGACAAAATGAAATTAGATTTTGTGCTTTCAACTTTTGCAACAAAAAAGTCGAGAACTGAAAAATTACTTATAAAAAGGCTTAGATTTTGATTTAGCTGCATCAAGTAAAGCTTGATGAATTTCTAACCTTGCATCAGATAATTTACGATTATTCAAAAAATTTTGATGCTCGGCACAATTGTCTGCGAACAAAACCTTTAGAACAGATTTCATTTCTGGTAATCTAGGAAAATCGGAAAATTTAACCCTCATGTTATCAAATGCAACACCAAAGTTACCAGCCAATTCATCTGGTAATATAGGAGCTTTGTAATAACGTTGACTAAAATGAGTTAAAATAGTAAATTTGGCTTCCATTGCAACACCCATATCAACAGCTTGAGAAAAAGTTGAGTGTTTCTTGAAAATTGCTTCTTCAATCAGTTCATCGTCGAATGTTGCCTCATGAATTAACAAATCACATCCATGACCTGGTTCGATTAAGTCCTCGGAGGGCATGGCATCGCCCGAATAAACTATTTTACGAGGTTTCAAGTCACCTTCCTCTTTGGTAACCACAACTATACCGAATGAATCTCTACAGTGGACCACACGAGCTGTTTGAAGGTGTTGTAGTCTTAAACTCGTCAGCAATTGAGAATTAGTCATCCCTTTTAAGTATGTTGGACATAATGCAATATGACAAAGATGATCAACTTTTCCACTAATTTCACTAAAATCACGCAAAAATCGCTCGATACGTGGAGGGCAAATAATTAATGGTTTACTGTCAGTCAATTTAGCTCGTTCTTGGAGTAAGCGAACTAAACCTAATTGATGGTCAGCGTGATAATGAGATATGAAAATAGCATTTAGATTAGCAAGTTTATCCTTGTAGTCTGGTCCGTAGAAGCGATAAAATTGTCCAAATGTCCCTTCGCCACAGTCAAACATTATTAAATTGTCTTCATGGGTTTCGATAATAATACTAGATGCAGTTCGGTACTTTCCCGGAGTTGCTGATCCGGTTCCAAGGAAAACTATAGCTGGTCCATTGTCGGGCTCTTTGTCTGAAAGGTTTGAAATACGTTTTTTATATTCTTCAGCAACTTTTTCAAAATTTTCTTTATCCTCTATATCTTTTTCAATATTTTCTGGATTAATTATAGATTCCATTTGTTCGACATCAGCAAGATTAATGCTTCGTTCAGAGATTGGATGGATTTTAAACTGCGTTCCAACGGAAACAGGGGTCAAATTAAGTTTAACTAATTCAGGATTCGGTTGAGTCTCTATAAATGGACTTTTGAACAATTTATCTTCAAATAATCGCAATTTATGACTAATAACATTGGCACCAAAAAAACAGAGACTAGGGTTAAATTCGTTTAAGGCAATGTGGGAAACACTTGGTGGAAATTTCATCATCCAATCTTGGAATTTACTATCTTTGATAACATTAACAGGACTAAAGTGAAAAATATATTCCAACGGATAACGAGATGATGGTTCAAAAAAACTTGATAATTTTTCACTATTCACAAGAGAATCAAAATATTCTAGGGTTGGACACTCGACAATCATGAAAGTACTTCCTGGCTGAGTAGGTTCAATAACATCTTGAGCCTTGACAAGCCGTCCATCTTCGAGTGTAACATCTTCCCCTGCCTTTAATCTACCCAAGATAGGACCTGGCGGCACTTTAAGCTCGATACACTTTTGAATTAATAGCTTTCCAGGTCTTTCATGTAAACGGCAAACATAAACAAATGCGCAATCAAGATGTAGTTTAGGTTTTTTGGACACAGCTCCTTCAGTGCTTGACGCCTGACTGCGGTGAATAGGTATAAAATCAATTGTTAAAAAGTTGTCTTTGAACCCTGTTGTATAGTCATTATTCACGCTAAATTTGATTTCATTTCTTTCATCGAAAGTTCGAGTTATCCCAGATAACTTCTCGTGAAGAAGTGGTCCATGGGCTGTAACATGTGTATTCAATGTTAAACACATTCCAGGAAGACCAGCAATATTATCCCACGAACTATGGGTAACAAATATATGATGCATTCCAGTCAAACGAACTCTAGAATTGAAAAGTATAAGATTCATTAAACATCAGATGCTTTTAAGCTATAATAAAACTTACTTATGAGTTACTGCAGCCCTTTGGGCTCCTTCCCCGCAATTAAATAAATATTTGTTAAATTCTGTAACCAATAAAAGACATCGAGGATTGGGTAATGCGCCATTACCAAGAACATTGAGTGTTACGAAAGACGGGAAATTGGTTTGACTTAATTTGTCATGTTTACGCTTTCCCTTGGCCATTTTACTCAATAAATTATTTATCTGTAAACTTTTGGCTTTTGCAGTTGAAAATCGAACTAATTGAGCACCACTTTTAAACCATTTAGAACAAGATAGATCCAATGAAAGAGTGAATAGTTTATTCAAACTCATTCAAATATGAATAGTTGAACCACACAGTCAAAAAGTATATTTTTACAATGTTTTTCCTCTAAAAAAGCGTTTAAAATTGTTGAAATCTATATTAAAGATATTAGGATAATTACTAAATTACTAATTACTATTAATTAAATAACATCAATAGTTGAATTGGTGAAAGGTCCTGAACCACATAAACAAAACAAGTGATAAGAAGTAAAAAAACATGCCATGATGAGTACAGGGTGTAGCGAAAGTTCGTGTAGGTAGGAGGGCTTAAGAGATGAAATCAGTTTCTCAATGGAGAAATCAAAGAAAATTAAAATTGGTTTCTACGCAGGGGGAAATATTTTTTTGCCTCCTACATGAACTTTCGCTACACCCTGTAAAGTCGGCTAGAAAACATGTGTTTGTTAAATATCACACTTTATCTTTTCAGTTTTCCAAGTTAAATGGTTTATATTTTCAAACGTATTTTGAATGATTTATTAATATTTTAGTCAATAATTTTCGTTGAATTTAAATTATCTTCACAAAAGTAAGTAATATTCTCGTTCTTTAGCACAAACAGACTGATTTTAATCCGTGCCAATTATTATTGTTTAGTTACTTTCATCATTTTTCGAATCATTCCATACTGATGTAGATTTCGATGCTTAATTATTTCTTTCGCTTTTGTTTATTTCTTTAATAGTGAGTGGTGCATTTCCAGATGAACAATTATACGATGAGTTTGGTAATTATATCGGACCAGATATAGAATCATCTGAGGATGATTCTGAACCCGAGGTTGAAGATGTCGATGAGGAAATGGATGATCGTGATGATGATAGGGGAAAAGGTGCTATGGGTACCGGTGATGCTTCTGATGATGATGACAATGAGCCAACTGGTAATGAGATTGTCTTGCATGAGGATAAGAAATATTACCCATCGGCAGAGCAAATTTATGGACCTGATGTAGAAACTTTAGTTCAAGAAGAAGATAACCAGGCATTGACTGAGCCAATCATTAAATCGGTCAAAACAAGCACATTTTCCCACCAAATTTCGGATATACCTCAAACAACTTATAGCTTGGAGTTCATGACTGATCTGATGGATACACCAGATCTTATCAGAAATGTTGCGCTTGTCGGACATCTTCATCATGGCAAGAGTACATTTATTGACTGTATAGTTGAACAATCTCACGTTGATCTTGGTCAAAAAGACGGCAAAAGTTATCGGTATACAGATACTCTCTATACTGAACAAGAGAGAGGAGTAAGCATCAAGGCTTCGCCTATTACCATCGTAATGCAGAATTTGAAAAGTAAATCATTTCTGATTAATCTTCTTGACACTCCTGGTCATGTTAACTTTTCAGATGAAGTTACTGCAGCGATTCGATTATCTGATGGAGTTGTATTGTTTGTAGATGCTGCTGAGGGTGTTATGCTTAATACAGAAAGATTGTTAAAGCATGCTATTCAAGAAGGTTCAGCTCTTACTCTTTGTATAAACAAGATTGATCGACTGATAACGGAACTAAAACTGCCTCCTCTTGATGCATACTATAAACTGAGACACATAGTTGATGAGATCAATGGATTGATTCAATTGTATTCTGATGAAGAAGATCGAGTGGTACTATCGCCTTTATTTGGTAATGTATGCTTTGCAACATCACAATTTCACGTTTGTTTCACACTTAAATCATTTGCTTATCATTATGCTGAAACCTATGGTAACTCATTCAATCCTGATGAATTTGCTGCCCGGCTTTGGGGAGATGTTTACTTTGACAATACTAATCGAAGATTCACGAAAAAAGCACCAACAAATGCTTCACAGAGAAGTTTCATCCAATTTATTTTAGAGCCAATTTACAAACTATTTGCGCAAGTGGTTGGTGATGTTGATACAGTTTTACCTGATCTTATTGGTGAGCTTGGTATCCGATTAACGAAAAGTGAGGCTAAACTGAATATAAGACCTTTGCTTCGTCTGATTTGTCAAAGATATTATGGCAATTTCAATGGATTTGTGGATATGCTTGTTGAACATGTGCCTTCTCCAAACTCAAATTCAAAACATCGAATTGAAACAACATGGAAAGGCCCGATTAGCTCGCCGTTAGCTCAAGAAATGATCAAATGTGATCCTAATGGAGTTCTGGTTGTACACACGACTAAACAATATTCAACCCAAGATGCATCAACTTTCCATGTGTTTGGACTTGTGGTAAACGGAACTCTGCAAGCTAAACAAACCGTAAAGATATTGGGTGAAGGTTATTCAAGCTTAGATGAAGAGGATTCTCGAATGATGACCGTTGGTCGCTTATGGATTTATGAGTCAAGATATAGTATTGAGGTTAAAGAAGTTCCCTGTGGTAATTGGGTACTCATCGAAGGTATCGATCAAGCAATTGTGAAAACAGCCACCATTGTTGATCCTTCTTATGATGGTGAACTTTTCATCTTTAAACCCCTTAAATTCAATACTCAATCAGTTATTAAAATCGCCGTAGAACCTGTTAATCCATCAGAATTACCTAAAATGTTAGAAGGTCTACGTAAATGTAACAAATCATATCCATTATTACAAACTAAAGTAGAAGAAAGTGGAGAACACGTAATCTTAGGTACTGGTGAATTATACCTTGACTGTGTTATGCATGATTTGCGAAAAATGTATTCAGAAATTGACATCAAAGTTGCCGATCCTGTTGTATCTTTCTGCGAAACTGTCGTAGAAACATCATCACTTAAATGTTTTGCCGAAACACCAAATAAAAAAAATAAACTAACAATGATTGCCGAGCCTTTGGAGAAAGGACTAGCTGAAGATATTGAAAACCAAATTGTTCAAATTAACTGGCCTAAGCGGAAGCTTGGTGAATTTTTCCAGAAAAAGTATGATTGGGATTTGCTTGCTGCTCGATCCATTTGGGCCTTTGGACCAGATCAAAGTGGCCCTAATATTCTCGTTGATGATACGCTTCCTTCTGAAGTTGATAAAAATTTACTTGGCATGGTAAAAGACAGTATCGTTCAAGGTTTCCAATGGGCCACCCGTGAAGGTCCACTTTGTGAAGAACCCATTCGTAATGTAAAATTTAAAATTTTAGATGCAGTAGTAGCAAATGAACCAATTCATCGCGGTGGTGGTCAAATTATTCCGAGTGCTCGTCGTGTTGCTTACTCTGCTTTTCTTATGGCAACTCCTCGTCTTATGGAACCCTATTATTTTGTGGAAGTTTTGGCACCAGCTGATTGTGTTTCTGCTGTTTATACAGTATTATCTAAACGTAGAGGTCACATTACACAAGATATTCCCGTTCCAGGCTCACCTTTATACACAGTGAAGGCTTTTATTCCTGCCATTGATTCATTTGGCTTTGAGACTGATCTTCGAACTCATACTCAAGGCCAGGCGTTTTGCCTTTCAGTTTTCCATCATTGGCAAATTGTTCCTGGTGATCCATTGGATAAATCATTCGTAATTAGACCATTAGAGCCGCAACCAGCTCCTCACTTGGCTCGAGAGTTCATGATAAAAACTCGAAGACGAAAAGGATTAAGTGAAGATGTGACAATCAACAAATTTTTCGATGACCCTATGCTACTCGAACTTGCTAAAGCTGATGCCATGAGTTTGTAATTAATTTTAACAAATTCTGTCATTTGTACCTTTCCATCATCTCTCATTTTCATTTATATCTTATCATTCTTCCGCAACTGTAAATTTCAATCAAAGTGAGAAAGTGTTAAGAGCTGAACACTGAATAATTGACACTCAATCATTAATGTTATTAGATAGACATTGAGCAAGCATCTTGCAACTTGCTAAATACTTGATTGAAAATTTCCCTTTCCATTGATATTAACCGTTTCCAAAATGAAAAATAAAATAAAATCTTAAATGTTTACAAATGCCTTCAAATTAATTCAAAACATTGATTTAGTTCATTCCTTTTGTGACCCGTTATCTGATTTCCAATATTGCTTAAGTACATTTTAGATACAATTACGTTGGTCTTAATGCTCATTAAAGGTGCTTGAAAATGGATAATAGATTAACAGCTAATGATAATTCATTTCTAGCTTCTGAAATGCTCTTAAATCGGAAACCCTCATTAAGTGGCTCTACTATCGAAGCTCACTGGCAGGGGGTGATTTCATGATAAATTCACCATAAACCAATGATGGTTTGTACCATCATGGCTACCAATAATATGTTAGTAAACTTTTCCTACAATTGAGATAAATTGTGTCAGGTTAGAGATTCGCATCATCATTTCCAACTCAATTTCCGTCTACAGTTGCAGTTTATTCCACTAACGATTGTAAGATAGCGGCTGAAAAATTCCATCGAAGGTTAACCTGTAAATAGACACATTCATGCAAATCTCCATGAATTATATCAATAGAAGCAACTAATAATAGCATTTCCATCTTCTGTCGCTTTGAAATCATTTTTAGCAATCAGTCTCAGTATTTGTCCTGATTAGCCTAGAGTATTATCCACCATAATTTAATGTTGGCCAGTAAATGTATCAGAAATGTTCAATCCATTAGCCATCAAGATTCGTTTATTCTGTCCAGCATTGATCAGAGATATCCAAAATAGCATCTAAATCAGCAACAAAATAAATTGAAAACATGGATTAAATTATGATAGATATTAGTTGGAAAAGCGACCGTTCAATTGTAAGAGTTATTTCATTAAAAGGAAATCAAAGTCGAGCTAACAAGATTGTCAATACGTGATCAATTATCTAATTAGTTTCTCCAGAAGCAATTAGAATCTCTAAATCAAATAGATTTATCATGATTTTGCAGCGCTTGAATCTTGAGCTTAAAAGTCGAAACTAATCGAAACAAAAGTTAGCCAAGGAAGATATCTTGATCATGATAGATATAATCATTAGATGGAAAGATATTTTTTAATAAAGAAATTAGTTTTTTAAATATCTGATTAACTAAGATTGATCAATACTTATGATGAATTAAAGAGTAAACTGTGAATAAAACATGGAAAACAAATCAAGTTATTTGATAAAATCTACGGAAATAATTAAATCAAGTGTCAATGATTGCAAACAATTAATTGGAAGTCTTCATCAATTGTAATATATGCAGTAACAAGAAAACAAAACAATTGAAGATTGAAATGTAATCAACAACAACAAGTAAAATGAAAGTAAACGAACTTTTACAACAGTCCGTTTATTTGGTCTATTAAGAGAAACGATGAAAACAAATGTTCTGATTAACTGTTGCTTCTAATTATTAGAAGCTAATAGCTTTCTTCTTTATCAGTTAAATAATAATAGACCAAATCAATGTCTAATTGACTTGATTAATTAGTTAGTTGATTAGGAAAAGGATAGATTAAACGAGGCAAAAGTAAAGGTAGATGGTTAAGAAGGACAAAGATGAACCTTTTGATCAATTGATTGAAGAGATATTACAAACCTTTTCTTGCTCCTCCTCACCAGTCCCCTGCTGAATCCAGGGAGGATGGAAATGAATAAGAACTATGTTTAATCTTAACTGGAATGGAAGTTTTCTGGTCTAATTTATCGGTGATTATCAATGTAAATTACTTCATGATGGTATCCAAGATGAATAGGTGATAGTAAACACATTTTGAAGATGGCGTGTAGTGATTGGTTGATGGAAAAGGCACAAAATACAAAGCAATGTAAACCTTGAAAGCCACAAAAACATGATTATCGAGCTGTTTTATTTATTAATATAAATACTTGTTAATTATTTGGTTCATCCTGTTACTCTTTTAATTATTAACCCATCGTAATCAATTAACATCTCAACTTGTTTAACCAGCAATTAATAATAACTGTGTACTTTTGTGTGTTCCTTGTTTTCCCACTTTAGTCTCCATTGTTTGTCCGTTACTCCATTCTTGCCTTCTCTTGGGTTATTCCCACCTTTTTTGTTTTTGTGCCTCTGACTCTTTTGGATTTGGTTGTTAGCCTTTAATTGTTACAATTTGTTAAACCGATCAAGTTTTAAGCTAAAATTAATGTACCTTTGTGTTAGTTTTAATCACCAATCACTTTGCGAACACATTGGGCCGTCTCCATTTTATTTGAGATATTGGTTGTATCATTGTCGTTTGAGACTTCAACTCGCTATTCCTCAACCTGTTCTTACCAATTTGCTGATTTCATCTTTGGTTGATTTGGCTAATCTGACGGAAAAATGACCGTTTCTGGGGAAAACAATGTCAAAGGATCAGCTACAGCAGCTTTAATGAACATATTAAAGAGTAATATTGGTACCGGAATCTTATCCATGCCCATTGCCTTTCGTAATTCTGGTATAATTCTTGGTATATTAACCTTACCAGTTATTGGGTTTATATGTATTCATTCAATGTTTCTTCTGGTCACTGCTAATCGTAAACTGAGCGAGAAATTGAAATTAACTGAACTCAGCTATGAAGAGGTATGTTTATAAATAATTTACAGTTTTTCAGTCCTATTAGATCAACCAAGCAACGAATCGCAGTTTGTTTCCCAATTTTAAACACTTTTCAAGACCAGCTTTGTTTGTCTTAAGATTAAAGGCAAAACAGTTGAACATGTAAACAATTAGAACAGATTTTGGTGATCAATATTGATCAATCTTCATTAATTCTTGTTTACTTGAGTATTTCTCTATCAAGGTTGAATTCTGTTGATAATAATTCTCTCTAATTCTTGTGATTCTTTATTTATTAAAGTGTAATTTAATTGAATCCGATGAAATTGTACCCAATTGAGGCTTTGCCATCACACTATCAATACCTTTTGATGTAAAAATGAGCCTAGAATCAGTGAAGTGTCAAATGATTCCTCTCTAACAAATTGTAAGTGTTTAATTACTCGCCCAATGTCGAAATTAATTACAGATTCTATTGCTAATTACGATCTTGGTAAACCCATTGACATACTAAATTAAAAGAATCTTTTGTAGATTAAAAGTTAAAAGTTTCCATTAATACCAACCTAGAATGATATCGATACTGAACTGAATTTGACAACAGTTTTCTGGAAAAAATCGAGAGAGAATTGAAAATTGCTCATATAATTGCTTGATTAAAAAAACAACTCAGTGATTAATTTGATTCATTTCGATTTGGAATGCAATACCTAATTAACTATTTGTTATGCAACCATTCACAAAACATTCATCATTTAGTTATATAATATAACATAATTGCTTATTATTTGCTTATGTAATTTGCCTAATTGGAAGATTGTTGTTCAGAGTAGAACAGTTTTTCATTAATTTTACATGATATTTCATAAGCTGGGTCAATTTTATGCTAACTTTACGAAATATCATTGAATTGAAAAGTTTAATTGTATTTAATCCATTTTTTGAGTTAAAGTTTTTCTGATCAAAAATTTTCGAGAAAATCGAGTTCGAAATTGAAACTTCGATCGCCTTTTGTGCAATAATGGAAGCAGATTTTTCATGAAACTCATTTTCTTGATGAAACGTTTCATGACCAACCAGAAAATATACTTATTTTGAGAAATATAATTTTCATTGCCTTTTAAACAGACCAGTTTGATTTTTACTTAAACCGACTGCATTTTGTGACTGTAAAAGTTAGACAACTGAAACTTATCATTGGTCCAAAAAATTGTTTGTACACACCATGGATCAAATACTTTTTTTGATTTAACAACAGTTCTCTTGATTTTGGCCAGACTAAAAACTTTGAACCTAAATATTTCGACAATGGTAGCGCCTACAATCATCATTCTTTCACCAAACATTAGATTTAATGGTCATCAAAAGTTATAATAGTGACATGAGTTTCGTGAAAAATCTGTTTCCCTTATTGTACGAAAGGCGATCGAAGTTTCAACTTTAGCCTAGATTTTCTCGAAAACTATCACTCGTAAAACCTTTAAAATCGCACAAAGGAACTCAGTTTTTCTGTCTCTTCAAACTACACTGCTCGTCAAAAGTATAAGGCCACATGATTTTCTTCTTGATTTCTGATTTTTAAGTAATTCTTTCTGATTGGATTAGTCTAAGCTTTGTTGGAATAATGCATTTGCTTGATTAAAGTTAATTTAAAACTGAAAATTGCACTCTGAAGATTAAAATAAAGGCACACAAATGTTATCCATATGTTCAAAAGTATAATAACAGAGTCTAGATTTGAAAAAAGTTTATTTTACCAGTTTTTGCCCATCTTTTTTCAATATTTGTGTCAATTTATGGATAAGTGTGACAATTGTGTTTATGTGTCTTTTTATAACAACCTCTCTATTCATTTCATCTATTTAAATTCCGATGTAATCATTTGTTTTCTTGTCCTTTCTTTAATCAGACTGCTGAGAAAGCGTTTGAACATGGACCACCTCAACTTCGTCCATACGCCAGTTTGATGAGCAAACTGGTTTCCACATTCTTGACAATCGCTCAATTCGGCATCTCAGTGGCTTATATCTTATTTGTGGCAGAAAGCTTTCGTAAGGTAACATTTAAGATCTAAATTTTAAAAAATCTCTGAAGCTAATAAATTTCTTATTTTTCATTTCTTAAGGTATTATCAAATTATTCCGATGAAGCTGGAAAACTTGGAATCTTTGTTTACATCATGGCTTGCTATCCACTCATGGTGGCTCTCAATTTGATCAAGACTCTTAAATATATGGCAATTGCTTCAACAATCGCAAATTTGCTCCAAGGAATCGGTATATTGGTCGTATTGATCAATTTATGTCAAGATCTTCCTCCATTGTCAACTGTTAAATATACTAATTGGGAATCAACTCCACTTTATTTCGGAACTGCAATTTTCTCCTTCGAAGGTATCTCTACTGTAAGTTAATTTTGTAGCTAATTTCAAACCCAAAACAGTGTTTTAATATTTGAATTAACAAAATTACTTCTCTATTCAAAAATAGATTTTACCAATCAAAGATTCGATGAAAAGGCCTGAAAAATTTGCTGGACCTTGTGGCGTTTTATCAATTGGCATGATAATTGTGACACTTTTATACAGTTTCATTGGATTCTTTGGTTATCTTAAATTTGGTGAACATATTGCCGCAAGTGTAACAATTAACCTTCCATGCAAAGTTATTTATGACATAATACGACTCATGTTTGCAACAGCCGTTTTCCTATCTTATCCATTGCAATTATTTGTACCGATCAATATTTTATGGCCTTTGGTTCAATCAAGATTACCTTTGAAACTGCAAAAAATGAATCTTGTCAATGTAATCTATCGAGCAATTGTTGTCTTTTCATCTTGTAAGTCTTCATCTATTTGATGCGTAAACAAATCTCATTACTAAACAATATCCTTTCCTTGTACAGTTATTTTAGCCTCATTTGTACCTCATCTTGATCTCGTTATATCTTTGGTTGGCGCTTTCTGTAGCTCAGCTATTGCCGTCTTGTTTCCACCCATGATTCATTATGCTACCGTTTGGGAAAATCGTGATAAATATGGACGCTTCAAGTGGAATTGGATAAGAACCAAAGCTGTCCTAATACTTATATTTGGCTTTATTGGTTTATTTTTTGGAACCTATTCCAGCGTCATAGCTATTTGGAATGCTCCTGATGAACCTTAAATATCTAACGTTAATAATTATCTAATCTTATTAGCAAATAGATCTAAAATATGCTAAACTGTTTTTAACAATCTAATTTTTGTAAATATTGTTATTCATACCATTGTGCTTCAATCAAAAGCAATGTTTTCCATTACAAAACATTCAATTTTAAGAAACGAAAATCTATCAAAGATAGATAAATCCATCGGATTTTTCCTAAGTTGAATTATCGAAAATATAAACAAACAAATCAGAAGAAACTCGTCTAATTATTTCACCAATCTGTCTGTTTAAATATATCATTGCTAATTCAATTTCAGTTAGTTCATTGATTCACCTCAACTCGTCTCTTTGACTTGAATATCAATACCTTTTTCATATGTTAATGATCTTTGCTTTACCTTAGTTTGTATTGTGTAACTGATATCTGGAATACATGGAATATTTTGATTAATAGCTCAATCTAATCTCATTGCTAGGTCGTTCTACAAGGTAAAATTGTTTTGTTTACATTGTAAAACAAAGCTAATCAAGCAATAAAGTTGAGGCAGTACGAACTGATGTTCATGATAAAAATAGTTATTCAAACTATTGGATACTAACGGTTCTACACTAACTGAAACCATACGGTTACTTCCATGAAATAGATTAGCACAATTAAAGGGTGATTTCTGGTGGAAATTTCCAGAAGCAATAAAAGTCTTGACATAATTCATGTACTAACGATTTATAACGATATCAAATGACCGTAATATCTAATGCTCGACAATATGGACTAACATGCATTAAAGCAGGCAAAAATGTCACCATCCAGTTGCGGTCATACTAATAGATAGCAATAAGCTTGAAACTTTGATGAGTCTGTAAGAGTTACATACAAAATTTGTTAAATTTGATGATCAGATGATTAAATGAAAGACACGAAATTGGTATTCAATTGGACGAGACTCATTTCTTCAGCACTTTTATGTAAACTTTTTTGTACAGCTTTCCTCGACAATAACATCAATTCGTGAAGCTCAAGTTAGAGAATAAAAGACAACAATTTGCTAATATTGATATAAAAATTAAATCTCAAGTTCGCAACAGTAAACGTGAAATCAATTAGACAGCCTTTTTCTTGATCCACCTTTCAGTATCCATATCACACCCGATTGAAGAAGTGGAAAAATGAAAATAAACAAGAAACACGGAAAATTAATTGGTATCATCTTGAATTACTGGAATGGAATTTTTTGCCTTTTTATTCTTGTCTATTTATTGTTGCTAATTAATGTAAATTACTAAATGATGATGTGAAGACACATTAAAAAAGGTAAACACAGTACTATTACGGAGGATAGTTTATCTATTAATGGTAAAAGAGAGGTAAAACATCGAGTAATGTTATTTAAGGTATAAATAAAAACGTAACTGTCATCGTGAAGAACAGTTCTTAACCAACCTTGTTACCATCAGCGTTTATAATACAATCACTGTCACCAAACGAAACTATTAACTTGATTTTCCTTAAAAAATCGTCACTCACTATAGTTGATACAGCTGCAGCTGATTTACCCAAATATACATTTCCAAAGTTCGCTCCCTTATTTTGTTTTGTTTTGTCTCACATCTTCCCTCACTATCTCCTTTGGATTGTCCGTTAATTTTAACCCTTTTAAATTTTTGTTTGTGCTGTTTCTTGTTTAGTTTTTTTCAATTGTCTTGTTAAAGCAGGTCTTTAATTTAAAATTAATGTACCTTTGTGTCAACCTTAATCACCAACTATTTCCAAAACATTCAACGCTATCTCTATTATATTTGAGATATTGGTTATTCCATTGGCGACTCAGACCTTTGTCTTCAAGTCAATTTTAGGTCGAGATTTTTTTGATTCCTGGTCGTTCAACTCAAGGAAGGAAAAATGACCATTTACGATATGGACAACACCAAGGCATCAGTCACTGCCGCTTTCATGAATCTGTTGAAAGGAAATATTGGAACTGGAATATTATCAATGCCAAATGCCTTTAAAAATTCTGGTATCTTTGCTGGTGTATTGACTTTACCGGTTATTGGATTCATTTGTTTACATGCGATATTTCTCCTGATCACTGCTAATCGTAAATTAACGGTCAAACTAAAACAAACAGAGCTCAGTTACGAAGAGGTTGGTGTCTATTTTTTAACCATCTGATTCATTGATATTTGAAATGGCAACTTCTGTGTTTAGAGTTGATCATTTATGTGTAACAAGTTTTATTTGAGATTGATTGGTAAAACAAACTGCAATCCCTTTTGTATTTCAAATTGTTTAATCAGGTTCATCAGGAACAAAAAATACTTCTGTTTAAATGTTTACTGATTTCTCTGATTCATAGAAATCTCTTTTGTTGTTAAATGTAATCGACCTCAGACTATCTTTCAGCTGATGATTGATAACTATTATAATATTTTCCCTCATTTAGCACTTCAATTCCAGTGCACATTCACTGAAATATTTACATTCTTCAAGAACACTGGTACTTTGAAGGAAACCTCATTAACCATTCCTAACACATTCATTAACCTTGTTACAATTTTGACTTACATTAGTACTTTCTAACTTGATTTTGGTCTTATTTTTTATCAGACAGCGGAGAAGGCATTTGAACATGGTCCACCTTTATTGCGGCCATACGCCAATTTGATGAGCAAATTGATTTCAGCATTTCTAACAATCTCTCAATTTGGCATAACCATGGTTTACATTTTATTTATTGCTGAAAGTTTTCGTAAGGTAATATGGCTTTGATGAAATGCTTGAAAAAATTAGATTTAGATCGTTGATATCGAATGACTCTAACTTGTTATTTTACAATTTTTCAATCAACAGGTATGCTCAAATTATTCTGAAGAAGCTGAAAAATTTGGAATCTATTTTTACATTATTGTTTGCTATCCATTCATGGCAGCTCTCAACTTGATCAAAACTCTCAAGCATCTTGCCATTGCATCAACAATAGCAAATTTACTTCAAGGAATAGGAATCCTCATAATTTTAATAACTCTAAGTCAAAACCTGCCATCGCTAGAAACTGTCCAATTTTTCAATTGGGAGACATTTCCACTTTATTTTGGAACCGCTATCTTCGCTTTTGAGGGTATTCCTATCGTAAGTTGATTATTGATTGAAACAATCCTTTTCACATCAACTAATTTCTTCATATTTTTCATCAGGTTTTACCCATAAAGGATTCAATGAAAAGACCAGAAAAATTTACTGGACCTTTTGGCGTTTTATCAGTTGGCATGACATTGGTGGTGCTTTTAAATTGTGCAGTTGGCTTTCTCGGTTACCTTAAATTTGGAGATAATATTGCTGACAGTGTAACAATTAACCTTCCACCAAAGGTTATGTTCGATATTATACGATTGATGTTTGCAGTTTCAGTTTTCTTATCTTACCCATTACAATTTTTTTTACCCATCAACATTGTATGGCCTTTGATTCAGTCGAAATTGCCTTCAAAATGGCAGAAAATGGCTATTTCTAACGCAATTTTTCGTGCTCTATTTGTTTTATCATCATGTAAGTCTTGCTAACCAAATACGAAAAGTCAATATTATCTTTTAATTTTGATTGTTTACTTATTTCTTCATTTTCTGTCAACTTTCCTTATCCAGTTGTACTAGCATCATTTGTGCCTCATCTTGATCTCGTAATATCTTTGGTTGGTGCTTTCTGTAGTACAGCCATTGCTATCCTCTTTCCACCGATCATTCATTATGCTGCAATTTGGGAAGATCGTGAAAACTATGGATGGTTAACGTGGAACTGGATTAAAATCAAAGCTATCTGTTTATGGATATTTGGTTTCACCGGAATGTTTCTCGGAACCTTTTCAAGTATCACAGCTATCTATCATGCTTCATGATTATGTGAACAAACACTTTACAAATTTTTAACACAAATTTTTACCTTGCAATTGTAAATAAATTTTTGTAATGCATGAAACCCTTTTAGTCTATTTTCCTTCTAAATAATTTATAAACCATTAATGATTATCAACCAGAAAAGTTAAAAACTGGCTCTTTAATTTACTTTATTAACAAATATAATGAAATTTATTGGCACAATCTAATTGGCTGTCAATTAGGATAAAATAGATACACAATTTTACAATTTAAAATGAGCAACAATATAAATATTTCAAAACTAACAATTTCAATGTGCTCATGTTAACTAATGCTAAAAAACATCTACATTATGTAATGGCTTGTCATCCCATTATGCTAAAACTATTTGATGATTGTCAGGTGAACTTAATTCAATTTGATTTTTCATGGAAACTAAATTTCTTTTGAATACGAATAAATTTTGCATACATACAAGTTAAGGCAATCATTAGCTTTTTCACTTTGGAAACATAAACTCTCTCCAAATAACCTGATTGAGATGCTATTTGAACACCAATCATTCGATAAATTTCTGTTGTCACCAGAACAGGAGCTTGAACCTCACTAGGTAATAGAGCAATACCATTTAAAGCAGTTCGAGCATAATCGTCAGCTAAATTGAGCATTTGAAGAGCATATCTTTTCAATTTATCCTCACCTAAGGCCCAAGGATTCCTATCATCTTTAAGTAACTTCAGTTCTTTTTCCGGTGAATCCATGTAATTAGAAGGAACATAACAACGACCCAGTGTTTGACTATCAGTAACAATATCACGGGCAATGTTTACAATCTGTAATACCTAAATAACCAAGAAAATGATAAAAAAACGTTAATCACCAGATATTTAAGTTGAAATTGCCTAATGAAATCCAGAGTCTATTTATGCAAAGCGACATCTTTTAATGTCAATTACAAGTTTATATTTTTGTTTACATTTGAATATGAAAAATTAATATAAAAATTTTTTATAAGAAAGTTGAAAATACTGTTTTTGTTTTAATTAATTGCAAATGCTCTGATTAATTTTAAAATTTGTAATTCTCTGTGTTTCTTTATAAATGATATTGTGCGAAGTTGCATTGGATCAATCCTTACCTGGCCCATTTCTTTAGCCCTTTCAATCATTGAAATGTGCTCTTTGGTTACTCCATTAGGAAACTTGCCACTTTTGTAGCACATTACAAAGGTACATAGGATTCCAATGGAAGAAGCCACATATGATGAGTATTCTAGTAAATCGGCTTCTGTTTCGACTTTTTTACCCTCAATATCCCATGCATAGCCTCTGGAAAGCTCGTAAAATGGTTCAGACGGAAGATAATAAACGATATGCGTCAGTGAACGGAATGCTGCCAATTCTTCATCCGATAAAAGATGTTCAAATTCATTCCAATTTATGGTAACCTTTTCTGTTGGATCCATTTTGGTTGGTACATCGTAAGTCCATTTATTTTTTGGCCTTGAAGCAAATAATTGATCCAAAAATTTGTTTATTATTGATAGCTTTTCCTGACGAGCCTGAGTTCCCTGTTGGTTGTCAATCATGTCATCTGTTACCCTAGCATATCCATACAAAATGCTCAAGTCGATCCTAATTCCTAGAACCGGGGGAAAAAAGGTAAACAAGGTCAACAAGTGCAAGCCTTTTTTGTTGGAATTGATTTTTACAAGGAAATCAACGTCATATGAATATCAATTTCTGGTTGTATAATGAATGGATGATAAAATTTATCAACAGTATTGTCCCGGATTACAAATTCATTGATCAAATGACAAAGGATAACGATCTTACTTCTGGTTAGTCTCAGGTTGATATTAATATTTAGTAAAAATTGAAGCAACTAATTTAGGTTCTTATGTACTTGATCTGGTTGCTTTTCGGTAGTCAATCTGGTCATAGTCAAGTATTTATCTGATTTGAGTGACAATATTTTTATGCTTATTCTTAATCTTCCCCTTGGTCTAACTGAATTGGTAATCAAGATAATTTAATTGTATTTGTCTTTACTTGCTATCTTGCAGTTGAAGACATGCTTCTAACAATTAAAGGTTATTACAATCACATTGCGAGTTAAAATGTGCTCACAAAAAAACAAACTTTCCATTAAATCCATTAATAAGGCCTAACAAACACTCAAACTGTATTTTAACCTTAAAAGTCAATCAACAACAAATTAATCGATGAAAGCTATTTGGAATACAATTTATTTGAACAAGCTCATAGATATATAATAAGGAAACAAATTAGACACAAGATAAGCTTAATTACAAACAAATTGCCTCAAAACTATTTATATTTTTTATCTATTTGTCTATTCATTAAGTTGATTAAGCTCAGTCATTATATTTGATTGTAATCAAGTCAATGCCATGAATGATTATTAAACAAGTTTATGTAAAACTCTGTCCGGTGCAAATTGAGTTAATTTTCAATAACAATGTATATCAGATATCTAACTTACCTAATCAAAAATCTAGGTCTTAACATTTGCCATTAATATTAACAATGATTATCCAATAGATCAATAGATAGAAATGTTGATTCTTTGATATTTTGGGTTTTGGGTTAACCAATCAATTATAAAATTGAAATTGACTTGAATAACTCAATTTGTCCACCAAATCTCAGCTACAATTTAACTCTATCAGTTTTATAATTCCTGCTAGTCATGAAATTGATCAGTGATTGATATTAACCATTGAAGTGGCTAATTTGTTATTTTCAAAGTATTTTGCATCGCAAGCACTTGTACATTTGGACTACTGGAGATTATCAGATTGAAATTATTGTAAACAGTTTAATTATAGATACATTTAGAGTCGAAAGGGTTGAGATTTGATCTGAAGGCGTAAATGACTTGAATTATTGTAACTCGCAAGATATCACGAAGGAATAAACCGGTCAACGAATGTCTTTTGCTTTTGATTTTGCTGTGATCTTGTAAGCTGAATAACATTGTGATTACTGGGTAAATCAAATCAAATTTCCAGAATTTTAGATAAATGAACTTGAATTAGTTGTTTGAAGCTTGTCTGGTGATAAAAAGCTGGTTCAACAATTGAAACATTTCATTATCAGATTTCCTGGTTTTACACGCACTGATTCATGATTTGTTTTCAGTTTGTATCAAGTCTATTGAAAGGGTGTTGCGTTTTATGAGGTGCAATTGATCAGTGATCACTAATCATCTACCGGATTTGATGTATTGATGTTGATACAAAGTTAAAGATAATTGATAAAATTGAAGATGCAAATGCTTAAAAATAGCAGAGTCACAATATTTCAATTGTTTTCTGGATTATCAACTTTGTTTTCATCTTCAAATCTTCATCGACATAAAAGGCTACCGTATCCGCGTGTATAAGTTTTCCGAGATCGATAAGATTGATTAACACAGAAAAACAAAAAATTTTTGAAGTTCGAGAGCAATGGGTCAAGAGGGAAATTCAATGAAGATTTCAAATTGATTTACTTTCAGAGATTAATCTAAAATTTTCTCTATTGACTGATTGAAAAAAGCTCAAAGTGACCATAAAAAATATCCTATGAGCCTCGTAGTGGATATCAAAAGGCCTCTTATTTGAGTGCATTTTGAAGCACCGTGACATTTAACATGCGGACACTAGCTGTTTATTAAGACCCTCTGCTTATGATGGCAATTAAAGGTTAATGATTATAGTTAAATAAATAGTTATATTACCTGAATGAAATGTTGAAGCGGCTGCAGTAAACGATTTAGATGATCGAGACAAAACATTGAGGCAAACTTTGAAGTCATCTAAACGTTGCTTGGGTAAATCTGGTTCACTGGCAATGAAGGCAAGGAAGGTTTGCTTGAAATAATTGGGTAAACTATTGATTGTTAACGATGGACTGACTGGAAACAGATCGGGATACAAATCAAGAAGACACTTGGACTTGTCAAAGGCACAATTGGCCAAGACAATCAATAAATTGACTACAGTGAAAAATGTAGCCTCTTCAATGGGTAAATCAGGAACAACAAACCATTCCAGGCTTGTTGCCTCATTGATATGCCATATACCTTGTCTCAGTGAAAATGTGTCAACCCAACAGAGGTAAATTGATGGGACAATAAAACTGGTCAAAGAAAATTTCCATTGAGACAGGAAATAATTGCCAGCACCAAACCAGAGGAAACAAATTACCGGACAAATCCACCAAAGTAAAGCACCCATGTAAAATGTTTTGCTTCCTGGTGTACCAAGATTAAAGCCTAGATAAGTTAGACTTATTAAAGCAATCATGGGCAACCAACGAGCGCAATTAAATGTAAACCGATTGAAATTTAAATGTAAACAAGGGATTGACCATCTCATCCATAGGATTGTCCAGAAAGACGTTAAAACTGTTTGTATAATGAAAAAGGCATACTCTTCGTATGGAACCCAACCAATTACACCGAGAACCCGATCAATTGGATAAGACCAGGCTTCATTGTAAACGATGTAATTGTCCCAAGGAACTGTGTAAATCATGGCATTGGAACAAATAAAGGCTATCTTGATGAATTCGTGGACATTGAGAAAGGGTCGGAGAAGCGAGTATTCCAACGCTATAATGGGTAAAGTAAGGTAAAGGTGGACATCGAGGTAAGTCCACATTTTGAAGTTGATTAAATTTTGGGTTAAACAATATCAACAGTGAATAACTATTGTTGTTTTGTTGATTTAATTAGGGTTAAGGTTGGCTACAGATTTAGTCTAAATTGACTTCTGGAGTTGGTGGGAAAAATTTTATGGAGTAACTATGTATTCCAATTTAATTTGACAACATTGCCCATCATCAATTTTCCTGACAATCTCATTTGAGGATGATTCTAAGAAAGTTATCTATCATCATTGTTATCATCATGATTTGCTCACTCCTATTATAATCTTTCTTTCTCTCTGTTTTTGTATATTTTAAGGTAATGTCTGGGAGGTTGGGTGGTGAAAAAAACTGTCGATGAAGGAGGAGAAAGATTGTCATTTCCAATAAGTAATAAACAAATGTTAATGTCGATGGATTTGTTGAAACCTTAAAGTTGAAAACCGTTTAGTTCAGCTCAGTCTTTGAACACAAAGCTTACCAGTTTTAACTTGTGATCATCATTTGCTATCTTTTCACTTTCCATATTGATTGTGGGTTCAGTTATCATTACCAAGTTTAATCATGAATGGTAACTCCAGTAGCTCAGGAAAAAGAGCAATTGTGATTGGCGCTGGTGTTGGTGGTTCAGCTGTTGCTGCTCGATTGGGTAAATTAGGATTCGATGTTACTGTTTACGAGAAAAATGATTTCAGTGGAGGCCGATGTTCGTTGATCAGAAAAAATGGACATCGATGGGACCAAGGCCCATCACTTTACCTAATGCCTAAGCTGTTTGAGGAGACATTTGCTGATTTAGGTGAGGATATCAACGATCACTTGGAGCTGCTTAAATGTCCGATCAATTATCGTGTTTACTTTCATGATGGCAAATTAATTGAATTGTCCAGTGATATCCAAGCAGTTTACCGACAGTTGGAAAAATTTGAGGGATCAAGTGAAGATACGCTGATGAGATTTCTTGATTTTCTCAAAGAGTCTCATGTTCATTATGAGCATTCAGTTCAAATGGCTCTAAAAACACGATTCGCGTCAATTTGGGATCTTTTCAAGTTAAAGTATATTCCTGAATTGTTTCGTATGCATTTATACTCGACTGTTTATAAAAGAGCAACAAAGTACTTCAAAACTGAACACATGATTAAAGCTTTCACTTTCCAATCAATGTACATGGGGTAAGTTTAAATTTAGATTTAAAACTATCAATTTTTATATTTCATGATCAGTGATGGAAAATTTAATCATTTTTGGTTTTTATTTTAATTGTTAACAGCATGTCTCCATATGATAGTCCTGGCCCGTACAGTTTACTTCAATACACAGAGATTGCTGAGGGTATTTGGTATCCCAAAGGTGGATTTCACAGAGTTGTCGATAAGCTGATTGAAATTGCTTCAAATAAATTTGGCGTTAAATTTAATTACTCTGCACCAGTGAGGAAAATAAATGTTGATGGTAACAAAAAAGTCACTGGTATAACACTGGAGAGTGGAGAGGTTATTGATGCTGATTTTGTGGTGTGTAACGCTGATCTGGTATTTGCTTATAACAATTTACTTCCACCAACATCGTACGGCACTAAATTGGGTTCAAAAGATCACACTTCATCTTCAATATCCTTTTATTGGGGATTGAAGGAAAAATTACCCAAATTTACTGTTCACAATGTTTTCCTGGCACAAAACTATAAAGCTTCGTTCGATGAGATCTTCAAGGGACACACTCTGCCAACACAAGCATCTTTTTATGTTAATGTGCCCAGTCGAATCGATCCAGATGCTGCTCCACCAGGTAAAGACACAATGGTTATTTTGGTACCAACAGGTTGCATGACCAATGAAAAAGGAGCAGATTTTGATGGTTTGGTGGCAAGAGCACGAGCACAGGTTATTGAGACGATTGAAAAGCAAATGGGCTTTGAATCCTTTGAATCTTACATTGAAACTGAAATTGTCAATGATCCAAGAACATGGAAGGAAAAGTTCAACCTTTGGAATGGTTCAATTCTTGGCTTAACTCATTCCATTCCTCAAGTTCTTTGCTTCAGGCCAAGTTTGAAGAGTCCCGTATTTGATAATTTATATTTTGTTGGAGCCTCGACTCAACCAGGTACTGGAGTACCCATTGTTTTATGTGGAGCTAAATTGTTGGAAGATCAAATTGTCCAAGATAAACTTGGTAAAACCAAGCAAACTGAAAAATTCTCGTTCGACTTTATTGGTATCTTCATTCCACTCGTCCTATTATTGCTGTTTTATTTTGTCTTCGGTAACAAATAAAAATTGAGAGTTTTAATTAATATATCGAATATTTTAATAAAAATTTCCTCGTCATAAAAATGGTTCTACAAAATTATTTCATAAACGTAGTTTTCATAACGGTATGCGATACGAATGGGATCTCTCAATCTGAGGATTCAAGCTAGGAGTACGAGGATCATGATTAAATAAATTAAATATATCAAGGGTTTCACACATTATCTGATCAGTTTGTAATATTTATTTTCATCTTCAATGAGAATCGATTGAACTTGAAGGTTTAAAAAAACAATGTTTACTTACGTTTTGATTGACACGATTGATTTATGCTTGCCTTTCAAGATAGAATCCCATTCGTCTTCAGTGAGTGTTACCTCTTCGTTTGTTAGTTTATGTTGGCATTTCTTCTGAAATATTCGTCAACAAGTTCTAAAGCTCTGCGGTCACAGCCATGTTCTTGTAGATCATATTTAGGATTGATTGCTATTTTAATAGTACGAGCTCCATGAAGTGACATTAATTTGCTACTCAATTAGTTTAGAGTCGCCATCAGCATTGAAAGTGTCTGGAGCCCAATTTAGTGATGAATCTTCATTTTCTAGTCGAAGAAAAGTAAAGCATAAAACTTCTGGTACTTTACTTTTATGAGTTGTTGGTGGAAGTAAGTCGAATAAATGATGGTCGAGTGAATCAGCCATCAGTTGAATTGCATTGGCATTTTACATTGCATTATCGCTTTTTGTGCAATACTGGAAGCAGATTTTATCATGAAACTCATTTTTTTAATGCAACTTTGAATGATCCATCAGGAAGTGCCCTTTGTTGCATCAAATAAAACTTTGACTTTCTTTAAAACAGATCACTTTGATTTTCAGTTAAATCGACTGTAATCTGTGACCATAAGAGTTAGAGAACTGAAACTCATCATAGATCCATAAGAATTGTTTGGTCACATAATTGATCAAAGCATTTTTTTGATCTATGAACAGTTCTCTTGATATTGGCCTTTGGCCTAAAAACTTTAAGTCTAGATATTTCGATAATGGCATCACCTACAAACATCATTCTTTCAGTAATCATTAGATTTAAATACGGTAAATAACACAATATGATTGAATATATTATGATTTAATGTTATTAAAACAGAAAAAAGAATCAATTTCAGTATAATACGATGTTTAGACACAAAAAAATGTTAGCTTTTTTCTTGATTCTTCACCTCAAGTTGTTCTCAAGCTTGAGAACAGCTTGAGGTTGAATGTCAAGCTAAATGGACATAACACAAATATCGTTTAATTACGCGTTAAGCAATTTTTTCAGTCTTTTTTAAGTTAAAAGTATTTATTTAGAGGCAAACTATCAATTAAATATGTATTGTTGATTAATTGAAGTTGTTGAGTATCATCTAAACTTTACTTGAAAGATTCATTTCACATGAAGTCATCAAGCAATTTTAATCCTTTTCAGACAAAAAAAACGCTTGATAAGTGTATTCAGTGTTGAGTATGAAGTCACATAGTGATTTTGTTTGCCTATCGTGGAATTAGTGGAATCTAATTTTCGTGGAATGGAAGTTTGCTAATTGATTCCAACAGGCTTAGAATAATTCAAAAGAAATTGTAAAAATTTAATCATATTGACTATAGCTTATGTATTCCCTATCTGTTAGCGACTTGGTGACACATCTGAAATGCACTCGCAACCTCAGCACAATCTCGGGCCTGAGAATTAACTGAGGTAGAGAATCAAGAGAATTTGCGAAGTCGTTGGGTTCAAGATCGTCATTTAACATGAAAACTGCGCCATAGGCCTGATGGTCTGATTGTTTAGTCCGGTCTGTTGGTTTGCGTATTTCAATCTCGTATATTTGAAATTCGGGGTTGTGCATAAATAATCTATCTCGTAGCCACGAGATTTATCTTTCCACTCTGTAGGACGCAAATTGCTCAGTAAAAAAAGATAGACTAATTGAATTTCGATCTTATTCTTCGCGCTCCTCGGTGACTTTGTGTCTAGTGTTTTCCCATAGTAACAATTATGTAAATTGAGATCACCGGCTAAAACCAATCCATGAACTGGGCCCCATGCTACACCTTTGGCGTCTTGCCCACCCGATTGCAGACTCATGACTGCACCAAAAAGTTCAGCTAAATAAAGCTGCCTATCTGCTTTATCGTTACAATTTTGGTGGCAATTGATAACGTCAATTTTTTTACCTGCACTTTCTACAACGGCGACCATGAAATCCGTACGATTTGTTTTAAAAATTTGGATGATTCCTGGGAAATATTTTCTTGTGAAGCAGGTGAGTAAATTCGAAACTTGTTCGTACTTCCAGAATGCACGTTTTGTTGGTGATCGCGCGGCCTGTTTGTCCAGTTTGGCAGCGTACCCACGTTGAAAATCTCCGTATGCTGTTGGCCCAAGCTCTTGAAAACAAACAACGCATTTTACATCAGAATATGATCTTTCAATATAAGATAACGTGTGCCAGAGCAGATCGTGCTTCTTGTAGAGGTTGCGGTTGGAAACACAGAATTCAGACATGATTGCAAAACTTGAAAAGGAAAAATTGAAACTGCACAACAAAAGAAACAAACTGAAAAACTTAATCGTACTGAAGGATACTAAATAGAACTTTGCGCCTTAGAAAAAGCGTTGCCATAGTTACAAGTTGCTTGATATTCCAGCTTTTTCAATTCTTCTTTCAGACTCTTCTTTGTTTTTCCTTAATCCATCATAATATTATTCCCATCATCTTAATATGTCTTATTTCTTATGTGTGGAAAAGTTTTTAGCATGGGTAAAAAAGTTGCCTTTAATCATCTACCCAAAATCCATCATAAAAGAAAAAAAATTTCCAATGTGTGTAAGTGTAAAACACATCCATATACTTTGGTAAGTAAAAAGCTAAAATGCTGATGCTAATTTAATGCTTATAGTTTCATTTTATTCTATCTTTCTCAATTATTATTTCTTATTTCAGGCAATCAATCGGATTGACGACATATTGGCTCGGCACCCAGATCCAGAATTCAGCCACCGGCATAGAAAAATATTTGACAAATATTTGGATGACATCTATTCTCGCTGGGGACTACCTAATTGTAAACATGATTGTTTCTATTTATATTTTAATAATCTTTAATTCAATATATTGATGTCGTAAATAATACAATGAACCATTTTGATCAATTAATCATACATTAAACATTCAATTATCTATGAATTTATTAGCTTTGTTTTCATTATTCGTGTTTCCACAATTAATTTGTTTTCGATGTTTCAGTGATTTAATTTGTTCAATTTTATATCTAATATGCTCAATAACCACAGCAACAGTCTTGTTTGATACCTTAGGGTTAATGTAAAAGGTAAATGATCATGCTTAATGTTATTTAAACAAAAAAAAGAATCAATGAAAACAGTAAAATTGTCACCATTTTTCTGATTCTTCACCTCAAGTTGTTCTCAAGCTTGAGAACAACTTGAGGTTGAAAGTCAAGCTAAATTAACCAATTTTCTCAGTCTTTTTCAAGTTAAAAGTATATAATCAAAATCATTTTGAGTGAGTGAGGTTGACTCTGAAATTCAAACTCAGGGTCAACGACAATTAAGTCCTAACCCATGTGCTTATTAAAGTTATTATTATGGCTATATATTTTTATGTGCAATATTACTAATATTGCATATATTTCTACGCTAGCTTGAGAACAACTTGAGGTTGAAAGTCAAGCTAAATTAACATAACAAAAATATTGTTTAATTACGTTTTAACCAATTTTCTCAGTTTTTTTGAGTATTAATTCAGAAACAAACGTTCATTTCTGGTGAGTAAGGTTGACTTTGAAATTGAAACTCAGGGTGAACGACAATTGAGTCATAATCCATGTTCTTATTAAAACTATTTACATGTAAATGTTGTCGCGTAAAGCACAACTAAGTGTTTAGCCTATTCACTATGGATACGCTTGCTGGCGCAAGCTTTAAATGCTTGCTCTCATGTAACTTATGTCTATTGCATCAGCTTGGACGCTCTTCATTGTAAAAAGTTCCAAAGCGTTCTGCCGTTTATTTTCTCTGGTTTTTAATTGTGTTCATGCATTGTTTATCAATATTCACAAGGATTTTAATAAAGCTTCGAAGCAAGGACATATTGATATGGTTAACATACCTTACTTACAAAAGAAATTAATTACGGCGCTTAAAGATAATCCAGTTTTCCGCGATCACGCCCGAAAACCTGATTCAGATTTGTTACTAGATACCCGCTTAATCAAGGGACTATGTACACTATTGCGCAACTATGGAGACAATAAATTTGGGACTCCAGGAGGTGATGAAGGTGACGCTTATCGTGATATCACTGGCAAATTGGTCTCACAGTTACCCGGGACTCGCAATGATTTTATGTTGACCTTGAATATCAAGTTCGTAGCTGGCTATAACTCAAGAACAAGTTCTGAACTCTAGTTCAAGAACTATTGAAGTTTGACAAAAGACGAAGGGTTGAATTTGACAAAACCTGTGTACATAGAATCCTGTAAACAAACTAATTGTACACATCAACGAAAAACATTGTATTTACTTTTGTACCATTAAAAGATGTAAAATTAACGCTTTAACCATTTACCTTCCTCTTCATTTCGTTTGATTTATCATAAAAATTTTTACCAATAAACATATTTTGTCACCTTTAAAAAATTCTGACACTTTGATTGTCACATTGATAGCTAAATACTCAAGGATTGCCAGTGGGGAGTAAATGTAAATTAAAATTAATTGTAAATTAATCGAGTTATCACAAAAACCTCTGTAGGATTGATTATTAATTCAACCTTCATGAGCTTTGCCGTTTATTAAAAGCACAACCACACAATCAATTTTTAACATTAATCAAAAATTGCCAATTAGCCACGCAGCTAAAAAATACTTTTACTTTTCTACACAATTCATCAAAATTTAAAGTTATTTTCAATTTATAATCTATTGATTAATACTGGCAAATTAAATAATTTGATATGATTTCAATAAAATCACTCACAAACTGTCAAACTGAAACTCGCGCCGAATGATATTGC